TTTATGAGGCACATTTGGTAGTTTTAACATTCTTTACGAATTTATTAACTTATTTTAATAAGTACTTATTCAGTAAACAAACGTGTTTCCCCTCAAGAGCAAACTACTTTAAGTTTAAATAGTTTTTATGGACCCTCACATCCTGCCTTTTCGAAGGGACCTTGTCCCACTGTGCTCGCCGGACTGGAGCAGAGGTTAGATGAAATGTGCACCAGGCGGGAGGTTATAAGGTGGCCACGGCAACAGAGCTGCCATTTAACTGACAGTCAGCAGGCAGCAGCTTCGGCAGCAGCAAAGTCAGGCAGCAGCCCCCATTGAGACCCCAGAGACCTCGGAACCAAAGTCAAGACTCGGACTTGCAGTTGAAGTCAGCGCATGACTGGAAGCACCCATACCCATACCCATACCCATACCCATACCAAAACCAGAAAGAGCGAAAAAAGAAGAGAAGTTGCCCCGAAAGTCAAATGCCAAGCAGCAGATCATGCCGGGTCTTGGGTCTGGGGTCTAGGGTCTGAGCTCTGTGCTCTGCGCTCTGGGGTCTCAGGTCCCGGGTCTTCAAAAACCTCGGACCCAGTCAGGTCGTTGCAGCCAACGTCGCTCGTGGTGTGTTATCAAAGCTGATGATGATTATACCCACTTGCACGCCTTTTTTGTGCCCCTACAGGAAGCCAAAGCCAAAGCGGAGGCCCAAAGACGACCCCGCTTTTGGTCTTGAGAGGAGCAGAGTGGAGCCTTGCCTGCAATTGGCTACTCGTCGCCATCGCCATCGTCGTCGTCTTCGTCTTGTTGCATGCATTATTATTATGCGCATGCGCGCAGTTGGCCATATAATCTAAAATTGTATCTTTGGCGTGTAACCCGGGGCACTTTTTCTTCTTCTTGAGCTTCAGCTCCTGCTCCTGCTGCTGCTGCTGCTGCTGCTGCAAGGAAACCAAAGCAACAAAATAAACTGATTATGTGCCTACCGCTCTCTGCAGCGAAATTAACAGCCCCAGCTCCTCATCCTCCTTTGCCAGGCCAGCAGCTCTCCTTCGCCCCCTCTTTGGATTGGATTGGCTGGCCCTCTTTTTTTTATTGTTTCCCCGGCGGCTTCGTTCGGTGAGCGGGTCAAATAAAATTTGCTAATATTTCGACCTTAAGATGTAATATCTCAGCTGGCCCCATTGTGCACAGTGGGTGGAAGCTAAGAGGCTGATATGATGATAGAAATCTGATATATCAAAGGAGAATTTTAATAATTATTTTTAAAATATTGATTATAGATTAAAATATATTGAGAGCAATATGTTTAGTTTAGCAATATTTTTAGTTTAGCTGACAATTCCTTAATTACAAGCTTTTGTTATATTAAATTCACTTTCCCTAAAAACCAAGACTTAACAATAACCCCACACCAGCTCCTTTCTTATCCAAACATTTATCAGCAATTTGCACAACTCGCCCACTGTCCCAGTTTCTGGGTTTCTCAGCCAGCGGCAGTAGCTGTGAAATAAAAAAAAGAAACTAAAACTTATTTATTACATCTGTCTAAGTCGAGAGCGAGAGCCCGACTTCATTACCCGGCCCCAGGGCGGGTGTTCAATAATTTATTAAATTATTTAAATAATAAGAGGGCAATTTCGATGCGCTGTTGTTGAAAGAGTTTCGGTGATTGATATAGAATACAGTTTTCTGAGATCAAAGATGGATAGTTTGTAAGAAAATCAATCAGAGGAGGGACAAACCTGGCAATTTCCAACACTTTCGATGGAAAGCTAGCTGCTAGGACTCTGTTACTGCCCTTTGCCAATCTCCGATGAGGAACTATCTGGCAAGACAGATAGCAACTAGCTTAGGCTGTTCTGCTCTACATGCCAATCAAATGCTACCTCAGATTGCAGATCCCCATGCCAGAATACAGATTCCAGAATACAATCCAAAAGGCCGGGGCCACCTAGTAGTCATTGCTCCAAGAGCCAAAGAGAGAGAGCCTCGAATGCGTAACAAGATCAAACCACAGCCACCGCACTTGGGAAGCTGGAAGCTGGAAGCTGGGTTGCTGGGACAGCCAAACAGTCGGACGGCAGAGGATGTTTGGCATTAAGCGTAATTGTTGGTTTGCTGGGCTGAATAAAAAGAGAAAAATATCATTAAATACTCGGTACCAAAATCAAAGCCAAAGACACAAGTGAAGTGTAGCCGCGCCGGTGAAGCCAACAAGTCAACTTTTCAGTACCCCTTAAAGTTGCTTGATTGGGAAGGGTATATACAGTAGCTGAGTCTTTGGGCACATTTTCATTATTATATATAGTTATATCATTACTATCATTAGAACTTTTATAATTATAAGTTTAATCAACTTTTTTATTAAATTTCAAAAAAAGTATTCGAAAAAATGTATACTAGGTAACTCCCATTCGAGCACACCCTTTTTGCAATGTCACTTTTTTGTCTTAGGTGGGCAGCCCAGCCACCGATACGAGCAAACCAAGCCAAAGGTTGCTGATGGGCAACTGGAACTGGGTACTTGCCACTGCCGGCAATCAGGTCGCCGTCTCTGGCTCAGTCTTGGCCAGCTCTTTCGGTTCGCTTTTGCTTTTGGCCCCGACCGGGACGTGGCCAGACATGAAGAATTACAATGAGTAGGTAGTTGGGCGCAATTGACGGTGGCTCAGGCCCAGCCTCAGACTTGGGATTCAGCCAAAGTTAAACCCAAAGCCAAAGCCATAGCCAAAGCCAAAAGAAACAACAGCTTCAACCTCTGCAAGTTGGCAGCAGGTCGGCCCACGTTCTGCGATCAGCGCTCCACTCAACTGGCGGCTGGGCGAGCTCCCGGGCATAGGTAGCACAAAAAGCTGTTCAATTTAGAATTCAAATTGTTGTCTTCGCTTCTTGTCTTCCCTTCAGTCCCCTCCCCCAACCCCTCGTACAGTACGGGCGATCTTTCTCCCTCGGCAACTCAACATTTGGTGGCTGGTTGTTTGGCTGGCTTTAGGGTTAAGCAGGTCAAAATCCGTACAACTAAATTGAGCCCAGAAATACAATTGGGCTGGGGCAGAGTTATCCCCCCCCCCACTTTTGCAATCCGGGTAGAATTCATTTTTTCGCTGCACAGTCTCGGCTCTTCAAATTAAAATGTATTTGGAGGGGGGTGGAACGGGGAATGAGAGAAGTTTGTCCATTTGGGTGACCAGAAGCAGCCAGAAGCACTTTTGTAGCTGCTTATTAGTGTGATGTGTCTTTTGGGCAAAAAGTTGGATTCGGGTTTTCGGGCTTACTTTTTTTGGTTGAAGTCTGAAGATGGCCGAAGGAAGGTTGAGGATGAGGACCTGGCACGTTTCACATTTGACGCGCCATACGCTGACCCTGCTATTAATTTATTTTGCACAAAAAATTCCAAAGCTTGGCTTGAGATTATCCCCAGATGCTCGTTCATTCAATTCGGCTCCATTTATATGCATATTAGAGATGGGTGCGTGACTGGAATATCGAGAAAGGCATTTTATTATTTCAAAGTACTTAAATAATAATGTTTATATTGTCTTTGACCCTGTCATAAATCTTCAAACTCATCAAAAATTTCAAGAAATTGGTTTGTCATAAGTTTCCGATAGTCTATTCTCTAACTTATCTCCGGCTTATCCGTATATTTTAAAGCAAAACAGGAACCAATTTTATGTGGCTATTTTATGATTGAAACCCACTTGAGTTCTATGTAAATATTGCGCAACAAAATAACTTTATTGGGCTTAAACTTTATGGCTCTATTAAAGAAAGAAAAGGCTGAGCCCAGCCAAAGTCGTATAAAACGAGAAAATATTTACGAGTTCTTTGGCTTAACCCGGGCTCAGGCTCCGAATCAAAATGAGGCGAACTTTTGACGAATCTTTCGGCTACGTATGCAAATTGATCTTGGACATTCATTGATATTTAACCATTTGTCCATGGTCAGCTCAGGTCACCAACAAGCCAACAAGCTTATCTGGCCGAGACAGCAATCCCAGTCTTGGCCAAACTTGGACTATAAAGTTTAATTAGATTGAAGACCAAAAGAATTTGATTTGAGTTTGAGCTTGGGTTTGGCTCAAAGATGGGTATCTCCCGTGTTGGTGGCCAAGAACACTTTGATTTCTTGGCAAATATTTGAAGACTCTTCGACTTATGTAAATATTCAATCAAGAAGCGTGTATCTTTTGTGTCCCTCAAACAGATATGAGCTGCGAAAAGGCTATCAGACTGTTTAACTCATTAATATTAGCAGCGACTAGCGTGCTATAGTGAAAATATCAAACTAAACTAGGTCTTCTGACGCTAACAAAGTCTTTTGTTTGATCCAGCCAAATGATTTGCATATTTCCATATTTTCCACCCATTTTCCTCGTGGCCTATGTTCTTGTCTTAAATTGCCTTCAACTGGAGACCTGGAGTCCAATTACATTGCGTGTATGGATCTCCAGATGGCCTCGGCCCTGGTCTTTTTCCTCGTTTTGTTTTTTTTTCTTTTGCCAAAGGAGTTCAAAGTCAAGAGCCGTGCCGAACCGGGCCGTGCCAGAGAGACCCACAATTCAAATCTGTTTTTGGCCCGTATTGTTATGGCCAAGTTGTGCTCTTTTCCTTGCTTTCTGGCCATTTCCTGGGCTCTAGTTAATGCCAACATGTTGTTGCTGCTATTGTTGGCTCTGTCAATTATTGGCACAGAATTTAGAATGCACTTGGCTGACCATAACCATAACCACAGAGCCACCCAAATCAAAGCTCCTCCCTCCCTTCTCTTCCTTGTCCCAGCAAAATTATGACAGAGTCTGAGAGCTGCTCATAGGAGTAAAAGCCACCAATTTCCGGTTAGTACTCGGTCTTTGCTTAGTTTTTAGCTCGTTTAGATTATTTCCTTTAACTTTTTTTTCTACTGCATTGGGTCTGTTGGATAGGTTTCTCTATGGTAAGTAGTACCATAATGTAATGGGAAATTAGATAATATTATATAAATATCTTTACAACATCGAACTTAAACTAACTAAGCTAATGAGTGAATTTAATACCTACTAAACTTAAGTTTTTCCCCTTCTTGAGTAATGATGAAGTCGCACCCCTAATTCTATACCCCTCCTTCTGCTACGTTATGCCCCTGTGACGCATGCCCTCCTCCATCCGCAGCCTGTCGATGGTCGCAAAGATCCTGACACGCCGTGCCAGCTCCTTGTGGACAGCAAGCTTATTGCGATCCCAATCTGAAGCTTGATTCCTCTTCTTGTTCGGTGGATTTTTAAGAGTCCCATTTAGTGCATCGGTTCTGTAATTGGTTTTCCAGGGCCGTCGTGTGGATATGGGGTGGTTGTAAAGAGCCGTGTGATTCGTGGGAAACAAACTGGGTTTGATGAAAATTGCCACATAGCCAGGCACTGAAATATTCCGATCCGTAGGAAAGGAACTAAGAACATATAATAAAGAAAGGAGATCAAAAATGATTTGAAATTCATAAACTTATTCTTACCAGAAAAATCCGTCATACATTTCGTGCACCGCATTGTGGCCCCACCAGCTGCCAAGGACCTGCAAGGGGCAGGATCGATTTCGACCTGCAAACGTACTCATCACCTTGCCCACGGACACAAAAAGCAATTCCGTGGTATTCGCCGCCACGAGCTCGGCCTTACGCAACATGAACAGATCATTGAAAGCGGAGATAACCACGTCATCATACAGATTATAGACCAACTTGTTGTTCTTGTCCTGGCCAATGATCAGCATGGCCGTTCGCATGGAGTTCATGATATGGGCCAGGGCCAGAAAGTTAATGTTGACATCCTTGTAGTCCGGAGTTATGTAGCCGAAGTACCAGTGACGCAAATGAATACGCACTGGAAGCTCTATTCGCGTCATCAGGAGCCAAGGACCTCCCCAGCTGTTCTGAAAGTTGCACAATACCTTGGAGGGCAAGCCACGATCTCGCTCCAGTCTAATCCCAAACACCTCGTGCAGATCCATGTCCTCGTGGCACGTGGCCAGAGGGTAATCAAAGAATTCACTGGGATGAGGTGTCACTGACTCCCAAGTTCTTGCAGGAACCACAACTTCATCCGGGTTCTGCTGTTGATCCGTCGTGGCTTCTAGTAGATCTGTATTGAGTGTCTCTTTGGTTTCCTGGGGGTTCTCAGTGTAAAATTCTTCTGGGACTTTCCTTGACATGTCTTCTGCTTTCTCTTTAACGTTTTCCGTGACCTTTGTAGACTCTGTTGTGATTTCAGTGGGCATTTCGGGAGTCTCATTTGTCGTTGTTTTCGTTTTTCTCTTCAAAGTTGTAGTCTTTACTTTAGATGTCGTGGACCATCTTAACGTCTCATCCGAATCGGTGGAGTCCTTGTTTTCATCGGATTTTGAGTTATGATGGTTCTCCTGCGAATGGTCTTCGGAACTCAACTCAAGAGTTTGCTGCTCCCTACGTTTCTTACTGTTTGAGATCTTCTTGGACTCCCGTGAATGCTCCAACGAGCTAACCTCCAGAGTTTCTTCTTCGCGTGAATGCTCTCTAGATTTGATTTCTGGATTTCCTCCATCCATTTTGTGATTCGATGTACCCTCGAAACCAAGCTGCGGTGCACTTATTCTAGAGGTTCCATAGTTGTTGAATATAAAGCTCATGTAGTACGTCTGGCCCAGGACAATCAATGGCAGGGATGTCCAGAGGCAGGGAATCAGCATAGCTACTCTCTTCAGCTTCACCGGAACCGGAGTGAAGGTCGGTCTATGGTAGCTGGGTTCCCTTTATATCCTCGCCATATTCGATTGTGACCAATCTGATTAAATATTTTAATATAATGGAAATCAATTTGTATAAGATTCGATGTGCATGATGATTACAGAGGGGCAGACCGTAATTGATGTCACACTTTCTCAACAGCAAGTTGGAAATTTTAATTAAGAAAATAGACAGTTACATACTTATAATAATAATATCAATAAATCAAATACAAATACATTAAAACTTGGACTTACTTTTGACAAAATTTATTTCATTTTTGTGTAGAATTTTCAAAGCCAAGTTTAAATACAAATCTTTAAAAACTTCTAGAAGTCGCAGCCGTATCCTTGCTGAATTAAAGACCTCTGACCACACTGTTATACATTTTTTAAGTCCTCAAAGCCGTAATAAAAAACCATCTAGAACTATACCTTCGTCTTATTTAACCTTCTAAAGGCCCCTAGCTTTTTTTAAGAATCCCTGCCTTTGGCCACAGTTAAACTCATTAAGTTAAATTTTCTTGGTATTTAAATTTTATTGTCATTTTAATGATAAAATCAATTGATGTGGCTGCGTCTTTCCAAAGTCCTTCAAGCAAACCTTACTGTTGATAGATAGAACGAAGATAGTTTTAGTCTAGAAGATTGGGCCCTGGTCCGATTCAGGGACTTACTTTTAGATCTCCTCGTAGTCATCCTCCTTGGCTTCCATAGATCCATGGTTCGCCGCATCGGGCACATTGCGAGCCATTGGTAAAGCCCCTACTGGTACTCGGCCACCCTCCTGGGCCTCTTGACCTTCTTGGCTGCTTTCACGAGCTCCATTATCCCGCTGGTTGGATCCCGCATTGCTGCCGGAATGGCCGTGGCTTTCGCTGCTCTCGTATATCGATCGCACGTACCGTCCGCCGAAGCTGTCGTCGATACTGATCTCATAGCTACTGTGATGGCTGTGATCTTTGCGTTGCATCTTTTCACTTTGTTCCACCTTTTCGCGCCGATCCTTAGCGTCCTTGCTGTCGCTATCATCATTATCATCATCATGACCTTTGTCTTCATCGTGGACCTCGCTCTTATTCTCTTCCGTATGATGGGAACCCTCGTCCTCTTTATGTTCCTCATCGCCCTTAGCTTCCCCATCATCCGTAACACCCTCGCTATGGTGTTCATCATCATGTGCACCCTCCTTCCCAGCGCTTTCGTCATGGCCAGCCGATTGATGGGCATCACCCTCATGGGATCCTTGACCTACGCCACCGCCACCACCAGGAGGTATGGCACCACCATCGCCTCCGCCACCTTCTGCGTCCGGGTTATTGTTGTTGAAGGCAAAATTCATGTAGTACTTCTGGCCCAGAACACCGTGCTCCGGCAGATGGCCGAGGGCCAGCAGGACCAGGTAGCCAGAGAGTAGCCGTATCCGCATCCGCCACATCGCTGCAACGCTGAGCTGCCCGGGCTGGCCGACCCTCCCTTATATATAGAGATGACCCCCGCCGCCCGGAATCGAATCGATTTGGCTGCAGCCGTGGCTGCTCTCGCCCATAAAAAGGGGCAGCCCGATAAAGGCGTGTCCAAAGCGGATCCAAAGCAAAAAATATAACACACGGGGCAACTGCTGGGGAGCAAAAAACAGTGGCAGTTGTTAGTCCAAGCAGCAGCAGTGCAGCAGAACAACAACAACGGCAGCAACATCGGCAGCTGCCGCGGAAACAGGTTGGCCCCCGTTGAAGAGAGCTACGTGGAATTCAATCAGGGCCAATCTATAATAGAAATCTCATGTGGCGCGAGCTTCGTTTTGCCCAAAGGGGAGTTTGCAGCAGCAGCAGCAGCAGCAGAGGCAGCAGCAGCAGGGGGCGTGGCAGTGGAGATCAGCTCGAAGAAGGAAGAGGAGGAGGGAAATGGGTTGCCCACTCTCTGCCCACTTTCAATCGATCGTGCGTTGCAAATATGAAAATGCTACTGCACCAAGCGGCAGCCAAGTCAGGCAGCTTTGGCTAAAATCGTTTTTCATTAACAATTTTAAAAGACGCGCATTAATCACAAGTACACTCATACACACACTCGCACCCAAAAAACAGAATGCAGAATGAAGGAAACTGCAAGGTGCCCTGCGCCTAGCCGTAGTTAGTACAGTGGGCCTAGATTATGTAAAATTTGATGAGATTTATATCAAGTCATGTGAAATTGAGTTATAGGTATTGTAGTTAGCTGTTATCTATGAAATTTTAAATTATATCAAATCCTAACTATACTTTAAAGTTTTAGCTTTTTTTACATTCTTCAAACCACTGTGCATGTGCTCATGGTGACCATAAATCTGCAGACTCGTTCGAAGACACCAAACTAATTCTCTCTTTGGCTCTCTTCTCGTTGCAGTCATTTCGTGATCAGTCCATCGATGGCACTGGCCTGCCGCTCTTAACCGAAGATCATTTGGTTAACTCGCTGGGCATGAAGCTGGGGCCGGCTCTCAAGCTGCGCTCCATATTGGCGAAGAAATTGGGCGGGCCGTGCCCGTGTGTTGCATGCGTTGCGCAGGCGCAACAAATGCTGGCACTGCAAACGGGTGGGGCAGCACCAGCAGCATCAGCAACACCAGCAGCAGCAGCAGCAGGAGCAGGAGCAACATCAGGCACAACTAGTTGCAGCGTTAAGTCGGAGATCTTTAATGGCGGCAGTAACGGCAGCAGCAGCAGCAGCCACAGCAATCAGGGCAGCGATATCGCAGCTCCGCCAGCAACAGCAAACTCGCCCAGCAGCAACATGTTGCTGCCAGTGTTGCCGTGCAGCGCAATGCACGACGCCAGTTAGTTATCAGCGGTCCACATACATATTTATGCTAAATAAATTGCATTTCAACTGCAAAATTGCTGTACCAAATGAGCTTTCAGAAAAAAAAATAAGAAAATACACAAACACATGCAAGCAAATCGGAGTGGAGAGAATGCCCTATTGTATAAATTAAACCATAAATATGTAATTTAATGGCTAGCTAAAGTTGTAAACTTTAAGTGAAAACAACAATAATCGCAAAGTCTTCCATTTGCACACACACACACACAGACACACAGAGACACACACAAATCATATTTGTATAACATTAATCAATTTATTAGTCAATTTAATGAGAGAGTTTTCGTTTACGTACTTAAGTGCAAAGCGCATTTTGCATTGATTTTATTTATTTCTATGACTTTTTCGTTTTTAACTGCTAGTCAGTAAATATATATTTAATAGAATTCCGCGAAATGTGAAGCAAACTTAAAAATATAATTTTATTGTTTTGCAAATCGAAGCAAAAGGCTATTTATTTTTATATATCCTACGATACGGCAGAATTGTTAAAACCCCAAATGCTTTGTTCAAATTCTTATTAATTTATGTTTACTTTTTCTGCGGCCATGCACAGAGGAATTCAAAATTCAACTTTAAGAACTATGCATCCTTTTAAGAGCTCCAAGACTTGAAACACACACCATACACACACACACAAAATATATAAAAAGAAAACAAGAAACAAGCAAATAGAAAACGTATTTTATAGCTCCATTGTACATATTGTTTATTTAATTAGTTGTAAGTCATTTAGAGAGACACAGAAACATTTTCTAACATCTAGGCCGTATGCAATGAACTTAAAGAAACAGAAGCATATTCCTACGAAATAGGAATGAAAATGAACTTGATTAATTATATACATTTAATAAACTATAGCTATTTTTCACAAGCTGAAGCAAATAAATTATACCAGTTATCATATAAACAAAGATGATCGTCTCGTTTAATCTGCAATTGCAGTTGCAAGCTGTAAGCTGGAAATTGCATCGCAATGGGCGTCGGGTGTCGGGCGTCGATCGTTGATCGTCTCTTTCTGGGGCGTTATGGGCACGCGGCTGACCTCCGGACCGCTCGATGCGTCGGGGGTCAAGCGTAACCGTTGCGCCAAAAGGCAACCAAGGATGGCTGCAAAACAATTAAAAGCACGCAGCGCACCTCCAGCGTCTAATTACAAATTGGAGTCATTGAATTTATTAAAATCGGCCGCGTAAATTGTGCAGCAATGCACTTGAGACACGCGAGCTGATATTGTGGGCCATCGGCGCTTCTTGGCTCTCATTACTTGGTCATAATTCACTGCGCCTGCCCTGTTCAAGTATCCATCCCTAGCCTCTAAAAAGCCCATAAAGCGCAGTTGTTTGGCCCGCTCTGCTTTTATTTTTAAGAAACATAATTGCTGCATTTCTTTGGCAGCAACTCCTTTGATTCGGATCCAAGAAGTTAGTAGCCAGTTGCAAGTAAGTGATTCCGCACTTCGCTTTACGAGTATGATAATTAACATCAAGTTCTAACCTATCGCCCTTTCATGCCTACTTAAGTATATATGTATTTATTTGCATATTGTTTTATGGTAATAAGAATTATGCTAAAACTAGCAGGTAAATTAAAACTTAAGAACTGTTGGTCGAATGTAAGCTTTTTAATAAATGAAAGAGCAAAAAAGCCTTTTTAAGAGTATTTAATATACATTCATTCCCTTCTGAGATTTTCTTTTTTAAAATTTCTTAAGATTTTTAATGAAGGATACCATTCATTCATTCCCAAAATTTCCTATTGCCAGCGCTCTAGAAATATTAAATTTTCTATTGCATTCTTTTACGTGCTTTCGACGAGTAAATGTATGAAGAAGAAATGTAAAATATAATATGTAATGCTCGCAAAAGCATGCAATACTTTTTGTTTATTGTATCAAGTCTGTTTGGTGCTCTCAAAAATCATCAGTTCAGTCATGACAATATTTGGTAGATAAGTAGCCTTTAATTGACAAACAATACATATACTTTAACATTTTCACTTAGCCATATTAGATGAAATTCTAGGATTATGAATATGAAGGGCATAGTAAATATAAACCCGCAATTCGAAGTGCTTAACATTAAGATAGTTTGGCTTCTAAGTGGCAATTGGAGCGGGAGCAGCCTCCTCCGGCTCGGCTGCCTTCTCCCCATTGCCGTTCTGTGCCTTGGCCGCCGGAAGATCCTTTACGCCCGTGGAACCAAATCCTCCTTCGCCGCGTTCGGTGTCCTCCAGTTTGTCCACCAGTTCCAGTTCTGGATAGAAGATGCGCTCACAAATGAACTGGGCAATGCGGTCACCCCGCTTTACTTCGAAATCGACATCCGAATGATTAAACAAAACGACGCCAAGGTTACCGCGGTAATCCTCGTCCACCACGCCGGCGCCCACATCGATAAAGTTCTTCACGGCCAATCCGGATCGTGGGGCAACGCGTCCGTAGGAACCCTCCGGAACTTGCACCTGCAGGTCTGTCTTCACAATGGCCTTTCCTCGGGCCGGGACAACCAGGTCGTAGGCGCTTCGAAGATCAACTCCAGCCGCTTTGGCGGATCCCCTCACCGGCTCCAGGGCATTTTCGGTGAGCTTAGCGAATCGCAGGACGCACTTGTCGATCTTCATCTTCTTGGCAGCTGGAATGTCTTCGAAATCGGTTGATGGCATCTGGAGTAGAATGGACTATAATAATACCAGGTCAATTGTCTTCGCATCTGTCACCTTACTTGCAAAATGTTGGTCTGAAAATGGCGCGGCAAAGCAAAGCGTCGAAAAATTGGCTGACTCCAGTGTTGCAGGACAGTGGAAATCAAAATTTACCAAATTTTTCTAAAATCTGGAGTTGGTGTATTTAAAATTCTTATTGAAACAAAAAACATTTAAAATACTTAAGTTAAGCTTAAATTATCTTTAATTTAATTAAGCTTACATTAGTTTAATTGTTAAATATTTATGATTTTCCATGTAAGCCGCAACGGTCACACTTCAGTTTGATTTTAGCACGTTGTTTTGAAAAATCCACTTGATCTGCTAATGTTTTGATAACTCCCATCTGGAGTCATGGCTAATACTTATTTCGACGAATACGAAAACTTGGAGGTAAGTTTCCCAAAACCTTCTTCAAATACATCTGACAGCAATTATAACCGCAGATCCATGAGCTCATGCTGAAGGATCGACCACGACAAGCCGCCTACTACAAAGCGATTTTGGGAAACAAGGATCTGTTCAAAGACAAAATCGTAATGGATGTGGGGGCCGGCACTGGGATTCTGTCCGCGTTTTGTGCGAAGGCAGGTGCCCGTTTGGTCTACGCCGTGGAGGCATCCAATGTTGCCACCAGAGTCGCTCTCGATCTAATAGAAGACAATGGACTAACAAACGTGGTGAAGGTGATTCAGTCCCGGGTTGAAGAATTTGTGCTGCCAGTAGAGGCGGAGAAGGTGGATATCATAGTGTCAGAGTGGATGGGCTTCTACCTGCTGCATGAGGGAATGTTAGATTCGGTTCTTCTCGCCCGGGACAAGTTCCTAAAGGAGGATGGGCTCCTGTTTCCTAGCGAATGCACCATTTTCGTAGCACCCTGCTCAGTACCTTCGCTCTTCGACGATTGGCATAATGTAGACGGCATTAAAATGGACACTTTTGCCAGAAAACTACGAACTCAAAAGTCTGCCAGGCCAGAGATTACGCATTTGAAGTCGGAAGACCTTCTTCACGAGGGCGTCGTCTTTCACTGGATGAATCTGCTTGATGTGCAATCTAACGAATTGGACAGTATTCAGTTCAAAGAGGTGGTGACTGCCCAAAAAGCGGGTAACCACCAGGGCTTTTGCATTTGGTTTGATGTTCGTTTTCCAGGCGAAGATACAGTTCTGAGCACATCCCCTCTTTCCCCGCCAACGCATTGGAAGCAGTGTGTAGTCGTTCTTCCAGAGGAATCCTGCGAAAATCTGGAGGAGAAGGCTCCGGTAGCTTTTCAAATTACCATGAAACGCAGTGCGGGCGATATGCGGAAATACAATCTGGAAGTGGATCTGCTGGATCCCAACACAGAGGAGCACCCAGTGCCATGTTCCTGCCACATGACCAAATGCATTCTGACAGAAGCTCATCTAAAGATGATGGACACCTCGTGAGTTCACAACGCCTGTTATATAAACAAAAGAACTGTGAGAAAATCAATTTATTTAACATGTTTATTACAAATACAATATATATCTCAGTCAAACTTAACGTCTAATCCAGCATTTTAAAAATCAATTGAAATAATAACTTTATGCAAGGAAAGGTCTTTAAACCAACAAACGTTGCAGTCGGCTTTGAAGTTCCTTAAGCGAATGTTGAAGCCGATTAGTGTCGGGTTTTTGGTAGCAAATGTTCAAGCAGCCCGCCACTATGTCTTGAGCCTTACCAACAATTCGTCTTCTACAAAATCAATATAATTAGTTGATAACCAAATAAATATATTTTTTCAATTTATGGTCTTACTTTGAACGGTACCAAATGGATTGAGCGTTGTCTGCCATGAGGGAGACGACTCGGATAGCGGATTGGATCAAATGCCACTCATTACCTTCATTCGCCCAAACGCGTTCGTTCATTGAAATCATCCTGAAAAACGTTTTTAATTAATTGATTTATATTAACTAAGCTTTTTATTATTGCACCAAACGTACCTCGAATAGTATTCCAGGAGCAGTTCAACATCTAGATTCATGGTCACCAGTTTCTCCGCCACTATACCCTCAGGCAAGCGCAGTTGGCAGGCTTTGAGTTCCAGTTCTCTTATGAGAAAAGCAAAGGGAAAGCAGGCTCCGGACTCCCCGTACTCTCTTACCAAAAGTTCAATTTTTGTGAATAACCTATTGCTCCGTTCTTGAGTTGTGCCTGGCTCATCTACAATGCTATTGATTATGTTACCCCAGACCGATTCGATTAAAAGAGGGTCGTTGTGATGGGAACAATTAAGTATGGACAATTGGCACTCCCAGAGGTCGAACGGTTCCGCAAAGTGCTGATAAAGCTGCGTAATATCAAACAATGCATAATTTAACTCCTTGACGGCCGTGGAGGCTTCCAGTTTGTGGCGAGCCAATTCCGTCATAGCGACCAGCACTGACTTTTGAACTCGTGCTATATCCAACTGAAGTTTTAAAAATATTTAAATAAGTATTTGTAGCCACTTCATTATTAAATATATTATAGCTTACCTTGTCCTCCAGTTCCTTCAGGAAAATGCCATTAGTTATTGATGAGCCAACGTTCCCATTTCGCATACACATAACAGCACGCACCAAATACTCTATTCGCTGTTCCAAAGTTATGTTTTCACTGCGTGTCATAGCCAAATTGTCCAATATCTGGGCTGCCTGGGAATGATGACCGTTCTTTTCGTAGTACTTCCACAGCAAGTCGATCAACACGACATTGTCGGCGTTTCGCGACACACTGCGGCGCAGAAACTCTCCCAACGATGCATCGACTACGTCCAAAAGTTCACTGAACATGTCGTGGGAGAGCAGCCATTCATAAATAGTTACATGGATCAGAGGGTCCTTAACCCGCAGTGCCTGGGCCACAATTTTTGGGATAGTTTGCTTAGCTGTGTTCCGTGCATCCTTGGTTTTTGCAGTATTTTGAAGTTGAATTGGCGATTGCGTTTGATCCTGGACGTGTGACTTGTTGCATGAAGTCTGGTAGATATGGTCCAGCATAAGTTGCACCTCCTTGTAGTACGTCATTCTATAGATAAAAATTTGTTTTATGTTTCTCTTGGTTAAAAAGATTTCTCCTACCTTGTAGCGAAGCAAGAGTAACCTTCGCGGTCCTCAGCTGGTTCTCCATTATTGTAAAAGTGGATGCCAACTTCCTCTGGATCGCTTTTTGACGCGCACACGGCCGAAAGCTCGATTACGCCCTCAAAGAAATCAGCGGAAATGAACTGCTGGCAAATACTGTGCAGTGGCAGTGTGGGCGCAGCATCCTTGCACATATGCAGTGTGGTTCGCAGCTTTTGCTGCTTTTCGGTGGACGATGTGCAATTCTTGGCATTCATTAACAACTCAGTGGCCTTGTAGGTCACATCATCCTCATGCCTGTAGAGATTGGGGCACTTCTCGCGCAAGTTCATGGACACCTCAGAAACTCCGGCTTTGTCCTTGAGATATAAATTGATCAGAGATATGATCAAAAACGCGCAGACCTCAGAACGTGTTAAAAGAAGGTCGCGGAAAGTGCAGCACTTTCAGCATTTTTTGATGTTCGGGACTGAGTTGCAAGCATATCAGCTGAAAGGAATGTGCGTTTAGAATGCTCCAAAGCGATACAACCTCACAGGCGTGTTCTGGAAATAGTCATTGAATATTTGACGTATATGTAAACATGTTTATATTAAGTAATTTAGATTCACTTACTGACAAAGAGGTTGAGAGCTGAAAGTGATCGCTTTTCCTCAACTTGAGCCTGCTCAGATAGAATCCGCTGCTCAGGAATTGGCAGGAGGGTGTTGTTCATCATAATGGTATTGTATGAATTCGTTCTGTCCAAATGAGAGTCAAACGACAATCGCGTAGACGCTATATCAATTGAGTTAATTGAAAAATATAATTGAAATTCTTGAATGATGAGAAGATACATTTGTGGCGAACAACTTACAGGAAATATCATGAACAGAGTGTACCTCCAGGAAGCTGCGCAGGGATCGGAGATCGGATTGCAAGAGGCCACAATCCTTTTGACTTAGATTGGAGCCAAACTGCTCATTTACACAACGCATTTGCCATATTGATCGCAACATTCGGGAGACATACAAGTAAAGTCCATCGTGCTTGGCCGAAAAAACGATTGGCGAATTCTCATTACCAACCACCTGCGATTTCTGCACATTTCCAACTGAAAAGTTTATGTTTTATTTAACTATTTTACAATACGAAAACCACAGTTTACTCACTGGGACTTATAGGTTGATTAAAATGGGATCCAGGATAACCACCAGGACTGGTTGCCCCAGTATTTGGCATTGGTGTCGACATAAACATGGGTAGACGCTCTCTTCCGGTCGTCGTATTTGGGCCCAGTGTTTGATTAGCCATATTGCGGTTACCGGCGTTTAGGAACTTTTGATGTTGGTAACACGGCTCCCCACCGTATAGCATGAACGCCTGGGTCGCCCACAAGCCGAGGTCGCCTCCACGGTATTTTTCCGAAGTGGCCAGCAATAGTGCGGTGACACATGCCTCTCTCTGATTCTGTGATTGGAAGAACATCTTTACCTCCTCGTGGTGCGGGCCATTACACGACAGTAGAATCTGTTGCAGTACGTCGACCATCTTGAGAAGCTCTACTATTTGTGTACCTTGGTTGGTAAGCAATGCTACTTTGCGGGAGTGGCGGGCACTGTTTAATGGAGACTTAAGAAGTGGCGTTGACGGTTCGTACAACTCAGCCAAACCCCAAACCACTCCATCTAGGCTCTCCAGAGCCGTCGATTCCACCAGGTAAGAAAAGTTAACAGATGGAGCCGAGCTAACTGACCACAGTAGATCCTGCTCTTGCTGCTGAGTGGTAATCATCAACATTGTACCTTCCGTATAGTAGGCGGCATGCACCTGTTTTGGCTTGTTTGTGGTGGCGTTTGGTGTATAACCGGGCGGAAGGCGAACATGAAGAAGGTAGAGTCCTTTTGGGGAGTCAGCTCCTGGCGACAGTGCTGGCTGCGTCGCTGACTGACCAAATCCAGTATTTTCAGCCTGAGTACAAACCGATGTGTTACCGAATTGCTGCGGCACATTTAGAGACGTTGTTGAGAAATAAAGTCTCACACCACACTGCGTCACAGCCACAAGATGCAGTTTGCCAGCAGAATCGTCGGCACTTATGGGACAGATGGCTTTGACACTTTTGAAAATAGCCGGGTCCACAGTACTAGAAATGGTATTAAACCAAGCATTACAATAGTTTCTTACGCTTCGGTACGATAGATACATTAAGGTATAGGATCTTGCACTTACGTGATCAAACCGATTGCTTGGTTCGTAATATCGTTTTGGGTGATTCGTCCCAGCCTTCGAGCATTTGAGTAATCCGTACCGATATCCCAGGCTTCAATTGAACCTCTTTCTGTTAGAACGTATAGCAGCTTTCGGCTGTTATCAATCTCTATGCGTTCAATTGGATCTACTTCCTGCAAGGAAATCACACGAGTTAATAACTCATTCCTATATAATAGTGTAATAGTGTCAATGATTACCGAAAAAACCTTTGAGGAAGCTGGGGACCATGTATGAGACCAGTCCTTGGGAGAGGTTTACCTTCTTGCAACGTTTCCCAAACCAACTAGATTCGGCTTGGTAGAATATCTCATATAGGCAACCATCTCGGCCGCCCAGAAAGATGCGTCCGTCATTGGTTCCCTTAATGACGCTGATGGACACGTTATCAGTGGCAATAACAAAAATGGGCTTGTTCATCAGCTGCATTTCTTTGTACGTACTCTCACCAAAGGTTACGCCTAGGACAATGACTTCGATGGGCGTGGTGAGGATCAGGAGATACTTGACATCCTCAACAAAGACGCCGGCTTTTGGTTTCACTAGACCAACGCTAACAATAAGGTGGCTCAGTCCGTCATAGTACGCCACATCCCGAAACTGATTGAAGGTCCAAATATAAATCTCCGAATCAATGGTTAGCCAGGCGCGACCAATTTCCGGAAACAGCCCCATGGTGCAGTGACATTTTATGTCTGCAAATTGAGAACCAACGATTGGAACGGAAATTACAAGAGATAATAGCACAAATACGTACGCTTGAAGTGCTCAAGGATCTCGTTGGGAATGGTCGATTTGCTTACAGTCCGCATTTGTTGTAGGTTATGTGTTTCATCCGATTTGAAGAACGAAAGGCTCTGGTAATCGTAGTCATTGAGTCCACTCATGGTGGCTCGCCCATGTTGGCTAACGCCTGTCAACTTTCGAGGAGATAATAGTTAGCGATAAAAAGGCGGGAAACAATTGTATCCATACTTACTTCCAGCAGACCCGGCTTATTTCTGTCCAGACTATCATGCCATTCCAGCATACTTCCCGCTGTTAAAAAGAAGTCCACCTGTGCTTGCGGAGCAGTCATTATGCGAAACTAAACTAAGGCGGGCTAACTCGGTTGTAAGCAAATTTTAAAAATATACGTAAACAATTGTTTTAAGATAAAAAAAGACTAATCTGATCTGCAAATTTTTGGCCGGCTGATGCTGATTTACCCACGCTCCCGCCTTCGGCCCAGTGTTACCAGATGGGATAACAGATTACCCCCAGCCCTGATATTCGAAGCTTAAAATTATGTCTGCAATGTTTCTCTGAAATTTTTTTTTTATTAAAAATTTATTATTATATTATTAAAAAACAGTAAGTTTTAGTTGTTTTATATAAACAATTTTGTTTTAATGATTTCATTATTACCATAATAAATGTTATTTAAAAGCTATAAAAAATATGGAAAGCAAAATTGTACAATTGTACAATATACATCCATAAAAGACATTTAAAAGTTACGAGCCCTTTTTAACATTCCAATACATTTGTCTAACAATATATCAAACAAAAATGTATGACTTACATTCAAATTAGTAAGTATTTGCTTCATTTACCTATCTTTGAAAAAAAAAAAAACAATTAAAATATAAAAGAAAATTGTCATAAAACTACTTTCAAACATCATGTAACATCCGCGCCTAACAGCACACGCCGTAGACTTTAACAGCACGCCTTCAGCACATGGTGCGGAATAATTAGGGAGTTTAGTGCCCCTCACACAGCCACATTAAATTTCCCTTCTTTTCTTTTCCCCGTTTCCGGTGAGCAGTGTGTTCCGCGTTATATTTATATTAAATTTTTAACCCAAAATACCTTTAAATTAACTATTTGCAGCGAGGAGTCCATCCAGAATTTGTCTGATTCAACCGACGGACTAACGGAACGTAAGTTTTATGTTAAAAAGTGTTCCAAAACATCGAATCAAACGATCTCATAAAATGGCAAATTGGGAGTGTGGCACTGTTAAATGAAGGGTCGCCTTTTTGATACAGATGTGACATCCGCTGAAATAAATACTCTCAAATAAACGTGTTTTAAGCAAAAACGTAAATCTTTCGATTCGGTGTTTGGGATATTCTTTTAAGCTATCTGTTGAATGCACATAATATAAACTAATTTCTTGTTTTCGTTGACAGTGTCATCAAAATGCGTACCATTAATTCCAACCAGTGCGTAAAGATCCCCAAGGATATCAAGGCCTCGGTGAAGGCCCGTGTGGTGACCATCACCGGTACCCGCGGAGTTCTGAAGCGCAGCTTCAAGCACTTGGCCCTGGACATGTACATGCCTGACAAGCGCACGCTTAAAGTTGAGAAGTGGTTCGGCACCAAGAAGGAGCTGGCCGCTGTGCGTACCGTCTGCAGTCACATTGAGAACATGATTAAGGGTGCGTAGATTATAAGGAAAACAAAGCCTTTGAATGACTTATATAAACTCTATTCCTTGCCTCCAGGAGTTACGTTCGGCTTCCAGTACAAGATGCGTGCTGTGTACGCCCATTTCCCCATCAACTGCGTCACCTCCCAGAACAACACGGTCATTGAGATCCGTAACTTCTTGGGTGAGAAGTACATCCGTCGTGTAGAAATGGCTCCCGGCGTCACCGTGGTCAACTCCACTGCCCAGAAGGACGAGCTCATCGTGGAAGGAAACGATATTGAGTCGGTCTCCGGATCTGCCGCCCTCATCCAGCAGTCCACGACCGTTAAGAACAAGGATATCCGTAAATTCCTTGACGGTCTGTACGTGTCCGAGAAGACGACCGTTGTGAAGCTAGAGTCTTAGACTTTTATAATGTGTTTCAACCTAAAATGTTAATAAAAAACCAACGGCCGAAACTTTCAATAAGAAAATAGTGTGTTTAAAACATCTGACCGAGATAAATGAAAGTAGTGATACTATAAATGTGTTGATCATGGTATTCTTTAACCTACAATATGGTTTTATGGTTCATTTCAGTGAAATTGACTTTGACCCCTGAAAGGATAAAACCTAAACCCGTTCCCAGTTTTGGGATGTGGGTTTCGTTATGATGTACTTTCAAAATAGTTTTTTTTAGACATACATTATACATTCGAAAATGATGGGGTTTTGCATTAGGCCTAAAAAAAAGGTTTCAGCCTCCCTCTAGTTTTGTAATTTTGAAATAAAGTAATTTTAGTTTGCGGTATGTTCATTTATTAAAGTTTTAAAGCTGTTTAAAAAAATGCTTCCGTGAACAGTTCCTTTTTAAGGCAGAGATAATCCTCTCCTGCTTTTCTTTGGCATACAAATGGAAACTGGAACTTGCACTCTATATCATGATACCCGTAGGCTCCGTTGAAATCTGCGAAACCAACACAATCCTCTTCGGGCGTATAATTGTTTGGTTCCAGCGGCACCCAGTCTAGGAATGGCACTGTGCTTCCATTTTTAGATAGGATGAACGAGCGCGAGGTTCCCAGACAGTTGATGCCGACCCAAACTGAATCTTCATATCCTGGGATGGTCAGAAGCCCCAAACTATTCAAATGTTTGGTGATTAAGAGTTTGTCCTGTTGATCGTCTAACACCATAAGCTCTCCTCCAAGTTTCCGACAGCTGCGGTCAGCAACATGCCAGTTGGCCTAAACGGCTTTTTATAAAATATATTGACATACATATATTAAATATTTATTTTAATCATACCTTTTCTAAGGAAACATAGTAGCACTTGTTACCAACTTGAGAAAATGGCGAAGTACAGTTCTTCGCGTGTATGCCCAATGCCAGGGCTAAGAGGACCAAAACACTGAGCACCTGCTTTGTCATAATTCTTATGATCAATTGATACCTTACCATCGTAGGCTAACGGTTTTATACATATGCACTAGAGTGAGCAGATTTTTTTTTTGCAAGCGGCAATAGTAATAAAGATGTACTTCTTATCTTAGACAAATGAGTTAATGAGTTATTGTCCCGCCACCAAAATGCTTAACCGTATATTATTAGATAATAACTTTAACATCCGAATTATGAGAAAGTTTAACGTTGAGAGATATATAACCAAGGGCATCCAAAAATAGCGTAGTAAAAATAAACTTTACACAAATGTTTTTTTTTTTTTTATATTAATATTTTTCGACGGTGGTCGTGTATGTAATAATAGGACCTATAAAAATGTAAATAAATTTGTTCAAATGTTGATTACTTTTTAATCGATAAGCCATGAAAAGTAATTTAAAATAAGTGTTGATTCGCAAAACATAATTCATATATATATATTAAATTTCTTTATTACTACAATTTTAAACTTAAAATTTATAATAATATCAAAAGATGTACTTTTATGATCACAAAAAACTACATCTTTGCAAATGTACTAAGAAATTTTGAATTTATCGTGAATATCACAATCGATAAACGCAGGAAATTTAAAAATGAGTTTCCGCCCTAGTTGTCTTGAAATGTCCCGTTCATTTCCGTTATTAGCAGCAAGTGGCAAAAGTGCGTAGTTAAAGCTATAAATTTAAATAAATCCGAAAAGTTAAAAAAGTGAAAATATAAGTAAGAATTGAAATATGAATTCGCAACGAAGTACTGGAATGGGCCGCGGAATGGGCCGTGGGAAAAAGCCCAATCAAGATGAAAACCGCAGCTTAGCTACGCAATTGGTGAGCATTTTAATTTAGTTTATAATTTTGGTTCACATTACAAATAAAAAATGCCCATAAATTAAAAATTTTTTTTTTCTTTGCTTTTTGGTAAAACTTATAAACATTAATAAGTATTTCATATTTGGCAAATTTAAAAGCGTGCGTTTTTAAGCTTGTCCACTCATAATCATTGATTACAATCATTCATAAAGTACTTGTATTGTTTATGTGTATGTATGTATCACTACCAAAATATGTACATACATACATACATTTATGCATATTTATGTTCTTATAAGTAAATAAAACAAATTATTGCTTAATATATAAAATCTAAACAGTGTTCAACAGTGCAACAGTTAATCATGATACAAATTTTTTCAATGGTTTTCACAGTAAATTCAAAATTTTTTGAGAATCGTACATGTCTTTAGTTGGCATGCCCCACTTCTTAGAAACCGAGCTTATATGGATGTGTATTTGTGCTAAGCTATTTACAATAAAAAAATAATTTGTGACTGAACATCGAATTTCATATAAAAGCCAAATATTTTTTATTTTATCAACTGCCTTCTTTCTAATATAATATTTTCTAGTAATAAAAGGTCAAAATTCAAGCAGTTTTAAAAAAGAAACGATGGGGTTATGGTTATGTTGAAGTGCCTCGTGGTTAAATGCGGTGAAAAATGCGTGTATAAACACAACAAAAACCATAAGTCAGTTTACACATGCACCTAAAAAAACATTACATTACAGCACCCTTCTTCTCAACCTGGGAGAGATGAAGCTTATAGAGGTCAAGGATCATCTAGTAATGTTCCCGATAGCTACGTGCAGAAGTCCGAACCTAGATTGGAAACCAAGTCAAGCGAGGTGGAAGCTCAGAGCTCTGAAGGTATGCTTTTGTATAATTTTTTTCAGTTTTTATTTTAATTAATACAAAAATTTCAAATAAACAAGGGGACCCTCGTGGCCCCGTGAGCGGTCGTCGTTTGATTGCAGATGTGGTTAAAATCCCGTCCTCCGGGTCTGACAACCAAGCATGGAGTGTCTGGAGACAAAATTACTGTCCAGACCAACTACTTTAAGCTTTTGAAGCGTCCAAACTGGACTATCTATCAGTATCGCGTTGATTTTGTTCCTGATATTGACAATACGCGTTTACGTAGGGGTTTACTTAATGAGCATCGAAGCCTTTTGGGGGGCAACATTTTTGACGGTACCGTTTTATTTTGCACCACTCAATTCAAGCCTGTACAAAATAGCCCCTACGTTCTGGAGCTCGTGGCAAAGAATCGAGCTGGGGAAAATATTGAGATTAAAATCAAGGCCGTTGGCTCCGTTGAGGCAGGTGATAACCAGCAGTTTCAGGTACTCAACCTTATCCTGCGCAGGGCTATGGAGGGCTTAGAGCTGCAGTTGGTTCACCGCAATTTGTTCGATCCCAAAGCAAAGGTTTGAAATCTACATTCTTAAGCAACAACCTATATTATATATCTTCATAAATGTTAATCGTTTCAATAGATTAATTTGGAGAACTACCGCATGGAACTCTGGCCTGGATATCAGACTTCGATTCGTCAACACGAAAGAGATATATTACTTTGTGCTGAATTAGCACACAAGGTGATGAGAACTGACACCTTGTATAATCTGTTATCTGAAGCAACTCGTGACAGTGAAGATTATCAAACCGCGTTTAAGCGTGAAGTAATTGGTAGGTAGACTTGTTTATCTTATGATCCTATAATCCTAATATTAAATTGAGCAAACGAACTATGTTTTTACTTTGTTTTACACAGGTATGATGGTTTTAACGGATTACAACAACAAAACCTATCGAGTTGATGATGTCGACTTTAATTCAACGCCATTGTCAACATTTAAAACCAAAGATGGCGAAATGTCGTTTCGTAGATTATTATAAAAAGGTAAAACTAAATATAAAATAAACCTAATTTTGTTTAAGTATAGTCAATCTTCAGCGTTACAACATCATTATCCGAGACTTAAAGCAACCATTGGTCGTGTCTTGTCCCACCGAAAAAAATATTCGTGGAGGTACTGATAAACTTATTCTACTTATCCCTGAGTTGGCTCGGGCAACAGGGATGACAAACGCAATGCGCAGCGATTTTCGGTATATTTAATGTCGGATTAAAATTTTAAAATTTGTATTAATATCCTTGCCATTTGCTTAGTTTGATGAAGGCCATGGGCGAGCATACCAGACTAACTCCGGATCGTCGCATTGAGCGGCTACGCACGTTCAACCAACGTTTGAAGTTTTCCAAGGCGAGCACCGAGACCCTAAAGTCCTGGAACATTGAACTAGACTCTGCCTTGGTGGAGATACCTGCTCGCGTTCTGTCACCGGAGAAAATCGTGTTCGGTAACGGTAAAAGGTTCCAGTGCGACGCTCGCGCCGACTGGTCACAAGAGTTTCACAAATCTTCAATGTTCAGCCACGTAGACATCAAGAGGTGGTATGTGATTACTCCGGGTCGAAACTTGCGCGAGACCCAAAAGTTTGTGGAGTTGTGTATCCGTGCAGCCAAAGAAATGAAGATGAACATCTCTAACCCTCGCTAGTACGTATAAAACTAACTAATTATAAGTTCATTACTTAATGTGGTCTTTCTTGTAGTGATGAAATCAATGATGACCGTAATGGGACTTACTCTAATGCGATCGATAATGCCGTAGCTAAGGACCCACAAATTGTGATGATTGTAATGAAGTCCCAGAATGAAGAGAAGTACGTCTGACTTTTTTAAAAAGGCATCGCAAGTTTTTAGTATGTTCTCTATTGATAAACAGGTACAGCTGTATTAAGAAACGCACCTGCGTGGATAGACCGGTGCCTTCGCAGGTGGTGACATTGAGAGTTATTGCTCCTCGTCAGGAAAAATCAGCTGCCCTTTTGACGATTGCCACCAAGGTGGTTATCCAAATGAATGCTAAATTGATGGGAGCTCCCTGGATGATTGAGCTTCCAGTACGTGGATTGATGACTGTCGGATTTGATGTCTGTCACTCGTCCAAGAACAGAAACAAGTCATATGGAGCGCTGGTAGCTACTATGGACCAAAAGACTTCAAACCGCTATTACTCCGCGGTAAACGAGCACATGAAGGGCCAGGAGTTGTCCGACCAAATGGCGTTCAATATGATATGTGCTCTAAAGTCCTACAGAGAACATCACGGCACCTTGCCAGAGCGCATTCTTTTCTTCCGCGACGGCGTCGGTGATGGTCAACTCTACCACGTTGTGAATACCGAGGTGAAGTTTTTGAAGGCCAAGCTGGATGAAATTTACAAATCTGCGGGCAAAGCGGAGGGCTGCCGCATGGCTTTTATTATCGTCTCTAAGCGCATTAACTCGCGCTACTTTGTGAATAAAAGCAACCCAAGGCCGGGCACCGTGGTTGATGATGTTATTACCTTACCGGAGCGTTATGACTTTTTTCGTGGTATCGCAGTCAGTTCGCCAAGGAACTGTGTCGCCCACTAGCTACAATGTAGTATCCGACAACATGGGACTGAGCGCCGATAGACTGCAGGTTCTCACCTACAAGATGACCCATATGTACTATAATTACTCCGGAACTGTAAGGGTTCCCGCCGTTTGCCAGTACGCCCACAAATTGGCGTTCCTTGTGGCTGAAAGCATTAATCGGGCACCTTCAGCTGGCTTGGAGAACAACTTATACTTTTTGTAAAAATATGACTTGAATCAACTTCACTACAAACATTTTATGACATGATATTTGTATCGAATATAATCAATACACGTTAATAAAGGAATATACATTTCATTTTCTACTATATAAAAATAAACGTATTTATATTTGAATTACTTTTTTATGACGCCCCCAACCCGTAAGTAAGAGCAAGGAAATTAGTTCAGATAACATATAATTTATTAATTCACTGTTTAACTTTTCCTAATTGTATACGAATTACATACAAATTTCAATGGTTGCTCAACACGTGCCGTTGTATCCTAATATTCATTTTAAAAACCAATGGTTTGCTCCAGGCCAAACAGAGTGTTCAACAGTAGAAAAATTGTTTCTGATGGAATTTTAAAGTCTAGTTAAAGAGAAAAAGTAACAAGTAATTATTTGGTGCTCACGCATTTTTCACAAACATGGTTTCACTTGCCTGTTTAAAATCTTTAAATGCAGGTGCTAAGATTCGGCATTATCTTTTCCAGTGTTCATCGTGTCCAAGCCTTTTTGCTCATCGTTCAAGTCCTAAATGTATAGAAAATGTTAAGTTTGAATTTTGAACAGTTTAAAATAGTAATTTTAAGTATGAAAAACGAATACAATTTACTATCGGATTTCCGAAGCTTTAAAAACAACTATATGCAGCAACATCTAAGTATTAATACCCAATCTTATAAATAAATGGAAATTTTGCCTAGTGCATATAGTTCATGCATGCAGGACTTGTACAGGGGTAAGAAAGATTCAAAATGTTACGAGATCACTAAGTTATTATAAATATAAATCAAAAGGAAAATAGTTTTATATATCCATATATTATATATATTTGATATAAAACAATAACATAATATCCTATACAAAGGTTTAAGTAGTTTATGTATAGTTCTGGTTTAGCAATGAATTAAAAACTTAAAACTGATGAATAAAAAATAGGTTTTTCTCTACGTAATAACAATCTACTATCTACTACGTTTTTTGCTTTAAAATGAAAACGTGTTTTATGGTAATTTATCTGAATATGCATCATAAATCTGTATCACATTTTTGTTTTAAAAAGAAAAATATTATGATAAAAGTAATACCACATTTAAGGATTTTCAACATGGCAGGCGATTACTTACCCTTGATATATATTAAATAAATGATTTTTTAAAAAACAATACAATTAACAGTTATTGTTTACAATTTGCAACCTAGATGTAATCTATTTACCATTAATTTTATCTGAAACTGACGACGAATTTTAAACCAATTTTGATCCCTAATTATTTTCACATTTATATTTTTTCTATGTTAGTTTAACGCCGTTCGAACAATATGTTTTGTCAGTTAAGGTATTTTCAAGTTGTATCTGTATCATTTAGGTTTTAAAGCTAATCACCATATGGAAAAACCCTACTAACTTTACTCCTTTATTTAAAAGAGTAGAAAAGTCTCCTTAATTATTTTGCAACCTTCTACCGTACTCATTGCAAGAGTATACGAGTTTTTATTTTGTATGTATGTGTGTTGTGTAAAGCCTTAAAGATAATTAAAATTTAATAATTTAATTAATACAACAGATATTTAGGTTTACTCCTTAATGTAAATCGTGAATTTATTAGACTTTTCAATGTTGCTGTAAACACCTCATTTAATGGGTTTTTAAATGATTGGCAGTTTACTAAATGTAATCAATTACAACGTATTTATCGATTTCTAGAAGTTATATAATATATGTTCACTTTTAGCATTAACACTAATCCAATCTATTATAAAAAACAAGATCACAATTTAGTTACGAATTATGTAATTTTGGTAATATCCCAACACAGTACATTTTGATTTTAATATTGGAATAACCTATTTACAAATACATCTGAATTAATTAATATTAAATATCAAATATATACATATGTTATTAGGACTAAGGTAATTGCACTAACAATAACAATAACGACTACCAATAATACGATGGCAGCGACTGTCACTTTAAAATCCATCTCATAAACTTGATGAAGTAATCCTGCAAATTTACAATTACAGCAAAACATTGATTTCATTTGCATTAACAATTGGAAAATAATAAAGAAAAACTAACTATTTTATTAAAAAGTATAATGGAAAATATTGCAATGATTTGCAAGGAATAAAAATGAACAAATGTATTCAAGGAATTGAAATAAAACACCATTTAATCTAACAAAAATTTTACTGTTTTTTTTTTTTACTGTGTACAGATATTAATGTAAATTTTTAATTTAGTTTTATTTAAGCACTATAAAAACCTAAATCTTGCATGGCTATATGTGTGAATGTTAAAATACATTTATACAAAAATTAAGACTTGACTTCCGTTATGATATAATGATGATTCGATTAAGTGTTCTGCTAAGTATACATAAATAATAAGATTAATTAACTATATTTTACGTGTTCCTGAATTGTGATAACATTAAATGTGTTTATATTTACTTAATGAAACTTAACATATGTTCGTTCCCAACTTTCATTTTTCATCAGGCCCGATGTAAAAAGCGATGACTAACCTAGAATATCTTCCCCGTTTTGTAAGTGATGTTACAATTTAGAAAGAAAATTATAACCAAAAATACCCAACTTTAAAATTTTATTTACATTTAAGAGAGGTTCGAAGAACTACAACCTTTTCGATACTCGAATTGAGGAAACATGTTTGCTCATTATAAAATATTATTAACATTGGATCCTTGTTTTTGTGAGCTATAGCTATTAATCAAATAAAACCAAAAATATTAACACCCTAAGGTTAAATGGTTTTATGCAGAGTTTAGTTGAAATCAAATGCTACTTTTGCTATTGATTAAGATCTTTAGGCACGTTTATTTTTTGCGATGGTCTGATATTAATATTGAAATGCTTTTTCAGAATGTTTTTGTGAAAGATTTAAGGCCAGCGTTGGAAAAGCTATATATGGACAGCCGTTTGAGTTGAATTACTGTTTAAAGACCCACCTGACGTTGGAAGGAATTCGTGTTCTGGACTCAGGTGTAAGGAGTATGCAGTGTGATCACCTTCAATATACTTCGTATACAAATACGTAGACATAAAAAGAAATTATACTGATGATAAAGTCGAACAGAAAAACACAAGAATGTAAACGCTATGCAATACGTATGGATTTCGTGATCATTTCATTTTCAATTTCTATAAGAACATTTTAATTACATAAAACATCTTGAAGTAGAACTAAGTAGTATGGGGCCTGTCGGCAAACGAGAACATCACTATTTGACCATCCCTCTACATTTTAACTTTATTTAAGCTTCGTTATTTACCTATGCATTACTGTTAAAGAAAACAAAAGATTTTTACGTTATGTTAGTTAACCGGTAGAGATGACAAATACACTTTGTTGTCCTGGATATATTTTAAATAAAGACAATACAATATTATAACAAGCTTACTGGTTTTCTTCTATCTACTAATATTTGAGATTTTTTTTAGGCTGACACTGCGTGGTCAACCGATATAACTTACGATGGCAAAGGGCTCGGCACCGCCAAAAGAACGATTGTATAAATCTCCAACAGCCCTCAAAATTTAACAAAAGTCGAGAATTTATGGATAATTAAACTGATTTTTAGGACAGTAGTTTTGTGTATGAAATAATTAGGAAATAGGGAAATACTTAGTGTGTGTAGAATACAATGCTTTGCGCATTCAGTTAACAAAGTTGGTAAACGAAATAGAATAAACAAATCAGAAATTTGTAACATTTATGAAAAAATCCTGTCCTATCCAAACCATTTTTCGAAAATTTATGATTAATTTAAATGAGTCTTGTGAAAAGCTTCTGCGCCGTTGATGAATAAAGATCTCACCTTTTTGGCTGGAGGTGTTGGGACTTGAAGATGATATTTGTTTTGACAAAAGTCGCGCAACAACGCAATGCCTTCCGTGCGATTGTTAGCGTAGCGCGATTCCCAGGCATCCAAAAGGCGATTGTAGTACCGCGGACTGTCATTGTATTTAAGGTACTTATGGGTTTGATCAGTTGGAAAAATGCGCTCCAAGGGTGCACATCGTGCCAGTTCATCCTCGGCTATGATAAGGCACCTTACATCATCGGGAGTAAGATTATTTAGGATCGCATCTACATACTATTGCGAAAAAATTTGGGATTTATTAAAAGTGATATGGAATATTTTGAAATTTCCGACATACCTCATTCCTGTCTTCCATAGACTTTCTAGTGAAGGTGTTGTGTTTGACCTTTTCTTCGCGAGATAAATAGTTAATATAAAGTCGTTTGTCGTAGCACATTTGTGTGCCAGGAGGAAAAGAAAATTCTGCAGCCAGTTCTTTTTGCTTATCCAAGGATAGTTTTGGAGGTACCTGTATATGATTTAGTGTACATGTAAGAATCCGACCATGTTGTAACTTACAAGATGAGAACTTACATTGTACAGCGCTGTATTAAGAACGCCCTGCACTAAAGGCGCCTTGACATGAGCATCTAGTGGCAGTTCCGAATGTAAGCTGGGAGATATATTTACTTCTAAAAGCCAAGGAACCAAGTCGGAATCCAAAATCACATCAAAACCAAACAGCTCGAAGCAGCTGTATTTTGACTCGACATTTGCTCTAATCATACTATTAATTCCATTCTCGCCAGCGAGAATAGTTCGAAGGACTAAACTTCTAAGAGCCTCCCACAAACAGTCCGTTCGTATTCCGCGGTTCGCTAAATACGTCCAAAGGGACTTTATCGTCCACTTATGCCCGTGACAGGCATTGACATCTTCGTTTTTGGAATAGTTGGATGAAAACTTATTAATGCTGTAGTTTGTCAAGTGCATACACCGATCATTCAGAGTATCCGTCTTAGCACTGTACTTCACTGCACATAAAAAGGCGGTTAATATAAATGTCTTATTCAATAAAAAATAATTTTATTTACCAGAAGCAAATCGAGCCAATCCGTTGTGGTACATGAAAACTCTCAAGGGATTTACAGATGTAACCAGGACGTAAAGACGCAAGTCAAATTTACTTCCATTGATAAGAAGTGGACGTTCAATATACCTAGACCATAAATATATATCATTTTAAGTAAAAAAAATATATTAGTGAATGGTTTACTTACTTTTGTACAATAAGTGGCCTACGCTTGGGTATCTGACCCCATCGGTTAATAACCCTGATGCCAGCACCCCGAGCACTGGCTGGCGGCTTTATAATCCATTTCGTATTTCTCTGGGCATACTTTGGCCAATGCCTGCGCAACGCACCCAGATCATTGGGAATAATATAGGTGCGTGGCATGAATCCGAATTCCTTGTTGCTGTGCTTACCCATTTGCCTTTGCAAATTCTTCCAGCAAGAGTCTTTTCGACCGATACGAAATGAACCGGGCAAGTGATTTATTTTTTGATATGACCGAATAGCTTTAAAACACGGCGACTTTAAGTGCTTGCCCCACACACCCATCCAATCGTTGGTTTCTGTGACAAAATATTAATAAATAAAAATCTGATTATATTTAAGAAACTCACTCTTCAACATTCGCATCCCACTGTTGGCGAGAATCAGGCGAACAACCTTTGGCATTATATTAGTGATGCGCCACTTGAGCACCCGATGAAGATCCGGCGGTACCCTAGGACCCTTTTTTGTGTTTGATGAGAAGGACAAATAGGGTGGCACGTACGGAAACAAGCTGGGAACCAGGAGGGAATCCGGATTTTTTAGATCATCCTCAGAAGTCTGAGAAGACAAAAAGCTCGGCGTACTTTGGGGTGAGGGAAATCGATCCCCAGAGTGTGTTAGTTTATAAGCATGGGCTCGATAACCGTCTTCTGTGTCTGATAGAACGCTGGCCGTATCGCTTTCATCAAAGTTCGAAACTAAAACAGGTAAGAAAAATAAACAAAAATGAATCAATACGAGATCAAATTTTAAAAATGATATTTGCTCGATTTATTTTGATTCCGAATAAAAAAATATTCTTACTATTGTCCAGGTCATCATCTTCATCGAAGTCATCATTACGATCAAAGTCTATGGCACTGCGATGGTCTTCTAGTTTTTGTTCCTGCTCCAGCAATATAATCGTTTGTCCCTCGTCGCCGCCTCCCTGTGTCTTGGCATTTTGGTGCTTCATATTAAGTCTCTGGTTGCTTAACTGTTGCTTGCGACCCATTCGTGGACTTTGGGTGCTATACAATAGCACCCGGTGAACTGTGGGCATTGGCTTTTTGACAGACACGGCGCCACCTTTGACCCTCTTTGGTGTCATAGGCAACCGGGGGACGGTCTGATCCGCCGGCTTACGCATCACCTTTAATTCATTATTGTTGTTATTGACTAGAGCGTCACCAGAAACATCTAGTGCCGCATTCTCGGTCATTCTGCAATAGCGCCTATGGATTTGTTCTAGTCCGTTATCAATAACAATAACGGGATCATAGGCTTCTTTTATATCCCTGTATTCCCCGCCGCTTCCTGGGTCTACCCAGTCATTGTCGAGGTAATCAGCTTCTACATCATTGCTTGGTAGCTTCTCTTTTAGCACGTGATTTTCATATTTAGGACTCTGCCAACTCCTCTCCTCAACATCTCGCGATTCTCTGCGAAGGGGGCTGGGTTTTTGGAATTTACTCATTGGCAGTTTGCGGCTATTGGCAACGGCAAACGCTGGCTTGGACAGTTTCTCCTCTCCACGATTGTAAAAGTACGAAAAATAGTGCTGATAGTGCTGGTTTGTCGTCTGATACTGCACCGGTCGCTCTGAGCTAAAAAACGAGAATGGAAAGCGGTTAGTGACAACATGATGAACAAAGGAGTATGTTTATCGTTTACACATCTATGTTTAATGAGTGTTTGTGGGTATAAAGTAATGTACTCGCAACTAGAGTTTGTGTGGTATATATCGGTAGTTTTTCCAAATGGTAATTGTAAGACTCGAACACAACAACAACAAAATACGTGTGTGTGCGTGTACTGGAGGTATGTAGTTTCAACAAGCAGGACAAGTAACAAAAATGCATTTGCAAAATTACAGTATGTTATCCCAGGTCGGCTCTGGCGATGGGGAATCGAGGGCCCGATATCGGTCCGGACTATTGTCCAGATAATCGGCGGACACACGTCCCCCACGGGCTTTCCGTTTCTTTAGCTCCGGATCGAAGTAAACGATGGATGGCTGCAGCAACATCTGTTGTTGCTCCTTGTCAGCGACATAGGGCCTTGTCAGCTTATACTGCCTATTGGAATGCTGATCCTCCGCTCGCCGAACTGTTTGATAGACGTACTCGCAGCTCTTGTTTCCAGCTATTCGCTGGTTGACCAGTGAATGCTGTCCAAATGCATCGGCATACAAGGACGAATCTGGCGCCGAATTGGCCGCCGATTGATGGTAGGTTGATCTGGATGTTTGTTTGGTGGGAATTCTCTTTGACGGCAGATTGTGGTTCTGGTTGGGTACTTGATTTTGGTTTTGGTTCGAACGACTGCTCCACGAGGGAGAGATCACGTTGAAGTTATCGTAGTTATAGTAGCAAAACGTATTGTCCGCATTGGAGTAACGGGTGGCTGAAGCTCCATTGTTGTTCAGACTGTTGCTGGCAGGGATATTGTAGCCGCTGTTGTTACGCATGTCAGATCCTGGTTACCCAGTCATAAATAGTGGGGATACTAAGCTCGTTGTGATCTCTGACTCCGCTAACCCAAAAAAACGCCTAAAACAAGTTTATATGCAGTGAATGATTTCTGATTCGTTTTGGACGTAATATTACGGATGTGGATTAATCATATCTGGTGAATATATAAAAAGAAGGAAGAATGCTTGATGGCACTCTGACGATGCATTATATATTAACCCCCGGACCCCGTGCGTGGCTGCCATTCCGTAAACCAGGTCAAATGTACAAAAACTTACTTGCCTCGCGATATGTGACCTTTACTTTGTTGCTGCAGGATGGATTAATAGGCACAGGCACAGGCGAACGGAGCAGGATTGCGGTGGCGGTGGTGTGGCGTTTCTCTTAAGCGCAGGACTCCCAAAATCTAGGTCACTAGCACTTGTCGTCAGCTCGGTGTGATTACATTGCCAGCATGAAAATTGCGCCAAGTAAATGTAAATGGAGGCAAAACTGAAAAGCGAAACACATCCTGCATTTAGCTACAAAGGTTTTGTCAATGGCAATATAATAATTTTCTTACCTACAATATAACTAATAGCAAGTGCACAATTTTGTTTATAAATATTTGGCTTATATGGAAATTTCCAGTTGACCGTTTGTACTGAAATTCTTATTTTTTCACTAAAACTTTTCACAGCCTACGACAAAAAATAACTAAACTACTGTATTTTGAAGAATCCATGTGCACATTTTTGAGATGGCATCGTGATCATTTAAAAGTACCTGTTTGCGATATATCGATTGCGCACGCAGCAGCTGTTTTCGATAGCTTTTTAGGGGAGTTCCCCTGAATTATTAATAAATAAGCAAAGAAATAAGTGAACTTTCTTAAGTAAAGTTAGTGTAAAATAATTATAAAACAAACTTAAAGTTTATGTGCCTAGGAATAAATCCTTATTAAAAACTAGGTTAAGCTGTTATTGACCTCAACTTGGGTCAAGGATATGGGCTAGCCTGAGCAATAATCGTTGTGTATATTAAAAATGTGTACATACAAAAATTACATATTTGTTTATTTTTATTACATATTGTACATAAGTATTGTATTTACTGGGCTGCAAAGTGGGTTTTAATAAATTGCCTTCTATTATTGTCTTCGCCAGATTTCGGTGCTCTTCCCATAGAATTGAAGAAAGTTGAATTGAATGGTGAGATGTTTTGTTCCGTATCTGAGGAAAATAAATTAAAATATGAATCAATACACGTACTAAAGAATCTGAAAAAGCCCCATTAGCTTACCAATACTGGGATCTGCCCAATCCATAGCCATGTTGTGCAGAATGGAAAGTGCCGTAATCGTTTGCTTGGCAGATCCGTGAGAGCCTTGTATTTTAGTGCCAAGGATACCAAACCGACTCACCAACAAATTTAGGCACTTTCTGGCCGAAGCATAAGTGATCGAGTGGGCGTGGTTGTACAGCTCCTCGGATTGGTTTCGTGGAAATCGAACTGGCGTGAACAGTGAAGAGGAACAACGGACCATTTCATTGCCGAGGAGAATACGACCACGAAACTCATTTTGTTCAAACCGTTCCTTTATTTTAGACATTCCGAACATCTCAGTATCGGTGAGCATTAAATGCTTTTCGATCAGTCGAATATCAAGGTCTCTTATTCTATGGGCCGCATCACAAACAATTTGAAGATGAAGTTCTTCTTCCTTTGTGAACGCAGGATATGGAACCTCCGCATCAAGGTCTTCCGTTGCAGAGTTTTCCGGTTGAAATCTTACAGTAGTCTGCAGTAAAGCTCCGATAACTTGAGGCATATTTGCCACTGCTTGAAACGAGCACATTATTCGCTCTTTTTCAGCAAGAGTAGCCGGCATTCTAATATAACGAGATGCCTTCGATGATAAAACTGAAGCCACCCGTCTTGTTATTTTCGCCAAAGTTCGTATACTAACGCCATGAGCAATTGCAGTTAGTTTTGGGTGCTAAAAGTACAAGTAAAATTTAGCGGGCAATTTTGAAACCGTTTGTTCTTCGCAACTTTGATGTACACACAAATCCACGAAGCTATAGCATACACACACAATTTTTATTTACCTCAGTTCCACCCCACAGTCGAATTGCGGACAAGATTTGTAGATCTATTGGAACTTGCTCTCTTTTCAATGGCTCAAAATATTCAATTTCTAGGTCATCACGCACGATTTCAATAATTCTGCGAAGATTTTCTTTCGTATACCGGTATTTTAGACGGAATTTATGCTCATTTAGATCAGTCAATGGGTTAAATCGCGGACGTAACTTCTTCATATGCCTTGCCTGTATTCGACCATTGATTTTTGGATTGAGAAAACTTTGAAAGTCCTTTAAATATTCAAAGTCTTTTAATGACCGCTCAAATATTTGTATGTCTTGCATTTTAACTTGTTTATACTTCAAATAGAGTGGTTGTTTAATTGGAATTTGAAAAATACTTAATGTATTGGAAACTCCGCAGCAGTATTTCTGGTATTTAGGGCTATAGCTACGATTTAACATCCTATATAGGGAATTAATTACATTTTATTATTATTATTATTATTGTTTGTATTTTAAAATGAAGACGTATATTTTAAAGACGACGTTTATTTTAAAATGAAGACGACCTTTAATATTTTTTATAATCAAGTTTAAATATAAAAATATATTTGTAGCTTTATTAGATTTATCAATACATATTTAATAAAGACGTTCTATGAGCTTTTAAAAGAAAGAGTTAAAATCAATAGGTGAAAAAAATTAATACTCTTCATAAATTAATATTTATTTATAAACTAAATAATTTTTAAAGTTTTATCGTGGATACCATAATAAGCTTTTGGCGGTATACAAATCGATGACTTCAAAAAACATCAATCAAATCGATATTTGGATAACCTCTATCAGCGCGTCATTTTTGAAGAAGCTAATTCATCGTTGATACATCTGTGGCATACGTGATATATATAATTTTTCTTGAGTTTATTATTCAAAGGCAACTAAAAAGAAAAATGTCCGATGATCAGAAACGTGGACGCAGGCGTCCACTTTATGATGAAGAACCCTCTACTTCCCGAGAAAATAGAGATGGGCCGGTATGTAGCTAATTGTTCCAACTAAAAAGTTTTAATATCAATGCACATATTGAAACTGTAAACTCGAATTCCGTTATTTCATATACATGTTCTTACATATATGTATGTAGAAAAAGTTTTCTTTATAAAATGTAAATGTATTTATTTATAAACAAAAATCCAAACGTTCCTACATATTTTGCCCCAAAAAGGAAATCAAAATGAAATAAGCAAATAAAAAGACATGTTTATGATCAACCAAATAAAAAAAAGCGAATATTTTTGTGAAAAACATTGTTAGTGTTTTCTGTAGACAAGGGTCTTTCCAAGCATAAATTCTACTGGATTTTTGCTGAGCCAGCGCTTTTTTTTTCAATGGCAGTCCATTATTTCTGCTTCTTTTTACATTCTATATGAAGTTTAATTTAAGACTTCTGCACCATCCTCGATTTTTTTCATTATTTTAAAAATCGCTATTGAAAATAAAATAAATAAAATTTTTAATCACGACTATTGCACTTTTTATTCATATTATTATTTTATTTTTCTTAATTGTTATATAGCACAGCAAAGTAGCCAGAAACTATTCATCGGATGGGTCAAGACCGGCTCCAAGGTCAGATCATCGAGGTAGTAGTGGAGCTCCCCATGATCGATATGCAGGGGCACATGACGAAGCTCCCAAACGAGAAGGAGCACCTGATGGAGCATCCAGAAAGGAATGTGGCCCACCAGAGCGTCGGCCGCGAGGCGATCGCTTTGATTTCGTGAATTCCCGTCCGGTTGAATTGGTATCCAAGAAGGGAACAGATGGAAAACTCATTACACTGCAAACTAACTATTTCCGACTTAATACCAAGCCGGAGTGGCGAATCGTCCATTACCATGTGGAGTTCGAGCCGAGCATCGAGAACCCCGCGTCCGTTATGGGGGTATTGTCGAATCATGTAAACATCCTGGGATCGGGCTATCTTTTCGATGGACTGCAGTTATTCACAACAAGAAAATTTGAGCAGGAATTAACCGTACTGAGTGGAAAGTCCAAGCTTGACATTGAATACAAAATATCGATAAAGTTTGTGGGCTTTATTTCGACTGCAGAGCCTCGTTTTTTGCAAGTGCTAAATCTTATTTTGCGCCGCTCGATGAAAGGCTTAAAGCTGGAACTAGTGGGTCGTAATCTCTTCGATCCCCGAGCTAAGGTGAATTCGTTTTGTAACTTTTTTCAATAACTGAAAGTATTTTGAATTTTAGATTGAAATAAGAGAGTTTCAAATGGAGCTTTGGCCGGGCTATGAAACATCGATCCGACAGCATGAAAAAGATATTCTTTTGGGCACTGAAATAACTCATAAAGTCATGCGCACTGAAACCGTCTACGACATAATGCGACGTTGTACTCAAAATCCGGCTCGTCACCAAGACGAAGTCCGTATGAATGTCTTGGATTTAATTGTGCTAACAGATTATAATAACAAAACTTACCGTATCAATGATATAGACTTTGGGCAAACTCCAAAGTCAACATTCAGTTGCAAAGGAAGGGATGTCAGTTTTGTTGAGTACTACCTCACCGTATGTTATCCTTATGCTAGAAACCCCAAGATCTTATTATTAACAAACTATTTTTTATTTTAGAAATATAATCTACGTATACGGGACCATGATCAGCCGTTGTTAATATCGAAAAATAGGGACAAGGCTCAGAAGACCAACGCTAGTGAGTTGGTGGTACTTATTCCGGAGCTTTGTCGAGTAACTGGGCTGACTGACAACATGCGGTCAAACTTCCAGTAAGATTTTCTGAAAACACATTTTTAAACCATTGCCTGCTTGCTCATTCAGTCTTTGCGCACACCACACTAAAAAGTTTTTTAAATTTCAATACATATGTTTTCTAGTTCAAGGCCCTATTTAATAGTATTAAATTAGACACAAAAATAATTCTACTTATACCTATGTCTTAACAATTTTAAAAAGAGATAAAATCTGATTCTAAAAACTTTCTTAACAGACTTATGAAGTCCATGAGTACTTACACACGAATGAATCCCAAGCAACGCATGGATCGACTGCGCTCTTTCAACCATCGATTGCAAAATACTCCTGAAAGTGTAAAAGTATTAAGAGACTGGCATATGGACCTGGATAGGAATATCACTGACGTAACAGGTCGCATAATTGATCAGCAGAAAATCGTGTTCCAGCATGCAAAGTCAGTCGATGGAAATATATATTAGATATAATTTTACTGAATAATATTTTAGGGTTCCAGCTGAGGAGAACGCTGATTGGACAAAGCACTTCAGGAACCAACAAATGCTGACCACTCCGAGCTCTGGCATCGACCGTTGGGCTGTCATCGCACCAGAAAGGAATGCTCATGAACTTAGGGTTTTGCTTGACAATTTGTTTAAGGTGGCTGGTGGAATGGGCCTAAGGATTGCAAGACCCCAAGAGTAAGCTTTTTAACACGCGCCTATTTATTTATACTTATATAAATATTTCTGAGTGTTTTTGCCTTAACTACTATCTTCAGGTTCAAAATTTATGACGATCGCACTGCAACCTATGTGCGAGCTATTGATGATAGTGCTCGCACGGATCCGAAACTAATTTTGTGCCTTGTCCCCAATAACAACGTTGAAAGGTATTTAATTGTTTTCGACTTTTGGTTGATTATTAAATATAAACTAAAATAATGCAAATACGATAAAAAAAAACAGACTGTAATAAGGCTTTACTATTTCAGGTACTCTTCAATTAAAAAGAGGGGATATATTGATAGAGCTGTGCCAACTCAAGTTGTGACGTCTAAAACGGCGAGGAATCGTGGCCTTATGAGTATTGCCACCAAAATAGCAATTCAATTGAATTGCAAATTGGGATATACTCCTTGGATGGTCGAGGTGCCATTGTCTGGGTTAATGACGATAGGCTTTAACATCGCGAAGAGCACCCGGGATCGCAAGAGGGCCTACGGGGCATTGGTGGCGTCCATGGATCTTCAGCAAAACGCCACGTACTTCAGCACTGTTTCGGAGTGCAGTGCCTTTGATGTGCTTGCCAACACGCTTTGGCCCATGATAGCAAAAGCTCTGCGGCAATACCAGCGAGAGCATAAAAAATTGCCCACGCGAATTTTACTTTATCGAGATGGGGTAAGCTCAGGCTCTCTAAATCAGCTTTTTGAATATGAAGTAAAGGATATCGTCGAGAAGGTGCAAGCGGAATACAAGCGCGCCGGTGTCCCTCCAGCGCAAATGGCTTACATTGTGGTTACCAAAGCTATGAACACACGTTTCTTCCTTAACGGCCAAAACCCTCCACCTGGGACTATCGTTGATGACGTTATAACTCTTCCCGAGCGCTATGACTTCTATCTGGTCTCGCAGCAAGTTCGCCAGGGCACAGTTTCGCCAACCAGCTATAATGTCCTATACAGCACCATGGGAATTAGCCCAGATAAAATGCAGAAGTTGACCTACAAGATGTGCCATTTGTACTATAATTGGTCAGGCACCACACGTGTGCCCGCCGTTTGCCAGTATGCTAAAAAGCTTGCTACCCTTGTCGGTACAAACTTACATTCCATTCCGCAGAATGCACTTGAAAAGAAGTTTTATTATTTATAAATTTATACTACTTTTATACTTTATAAATTTTTTACTAACAGGGCAGTGAAAGAAACAATCCCAGCAAATTATTTTATATGAATATTCTCTTATTTTCCTTATGCGCCAAATGTGTTGGGTTTGGTTATATATATAGTTACATTAATTTGACTTCATCAACTCTTGGTATGTAATGCTTACCAAAGAAATACCTGAAACTTGAACTTAATACAACCAAAATATTCTTTAACAAAAAATTCGTTTCTTTTAATTTTGAGTATAATTACTTTATTTATATTATATATTATACTTTATATAAAGAAAAATTACATACATCCGTGTTCGCTTATTAAACCACACATCCATGGCTACTTAATTCGTGAAACATATTTAATTAATTATACAGGTATTTAACTTTCACAAGGATAATACAAATTCATAGCTTGTTGAGTATATTGAAATGCTACGGAGTTCGATATTTTACTGTATTTGTATTTACAAAATTCTAAATTTTCGATTTGTATAAATGTTTTTATATTAATCGTATCGATTACAAGTTGGGGTAGGATTGAGTTTAGTTATAATATCGATTATATATAATTTAATATCCAAACACCGACTACTATTATACAGAAGCCCCTGTCTATTTAGACCTTGACTCCCAAAGAAGCGAAAAAACAACCAATTGTATTCATCGCTTACTATGGATTGTCGTCTAGGCTTAAAATTCAAATGCGTTCCACTATAGCCATTACTTTTACGATAATTACTCGTTGGTGTATATACAATTCTATTAAACTTTTGATTTTAGATATATAATTAGGATTAGGTGTATATTGTATAAAGGGTGGTAGAAAAGCTTTGGTGCTTTTGTGTAATCCAATTGTGTACCACGCTTGGTTAAGACCATCGTATGGATTAATTCTCTTTGGAATTACTTTTTCTTTTTGTTTTTTAGAATTATATCGGGCTTTAACGAGTTAATCAGGGATCAAGCCGATGTCTCGTTAGGTTCCATCCAGCCCTCACTGTCGTCTTCGCTATCAGAATCTTCGGATTCTGATAATTCGATAGCTACACGTCTGGCCAAGATTGAAGCCACATCCAATGGCGCCGCATTGCGTTCAATTTCTTTCTGCTCCGATTTTTCAACCTTTCGAAGAGTAATACCTGAAAATAATAATTGATTTAAATGATATTTATGATATAAGGAAGAAAGCGATATTAAACCACCAAACGATAGTTCTACTCACCATCTCGAATGGCCTTCATTAAATCGTTGCGTGGGTCATGGAATGGAGGCAATGTCTTCTTAGGTGCGACAATGTGTGGCACACCATTCTGTTGGCCAGGCTGCAACTCGCCATTGGCCAATGATTTGGGCAGAATTTGGTGCGGCCGCAGGGTGTGCTGGTTGCCACTACCCATGCCTTCCTCTACAGGTGGTGGTGGAGGCGGCGGCGGTGGCGCGGCATTAGGGGGCGACATCTTAGGAGAGTGCTAATAGCGATAGCCATTAATGAAATCAAATCATCTTAATAAACATGTATTACAAACCTGATCTGGAACTGGCGGTGGAGGCGGCAAGTCGCTAAGGGAGTTCAGTTGGTTGCCCGCCATTCCGATGCTATGGAAAGTATTGCTCAGTTGCGTCATGACCATATCATTGGCATTCTGGATGCTGTTGGGAGTCATCTGTGGAGATCCAGCTCCCGACGAACTGTTTGCCCGGCCAAGCAGCTTAGCCGCCATGTGGCCGCTGTTAGCTCCGTTCATGGCAGACATAGGCGAAATGACGTCTGGAACTGGTGGAGGCGGTGGCAAGGCGTCTCGGCTAGTCGACATACTTCTACCCCGGGTCGGAGTATTGGCATTCGAGGCTGTGGGCGTGCCACCACCGCTGCCATTCGAGGGCGGAGCCGGTGGCGGCTGCGAGGGCCGGGGCTTGTTCCGAGACGGTGTGCCCGGTCCGTAGATGGGTTCCGGCGACATGACGCCTTGGCCTGTTTGACCGTACAGTGCATGCGACTGATACAGCCCGGCGTCATACATCTGCTGATGCTGCATGTGCATCTGCTGTTGGCCACCCATGCCGTTGCCAAAGGTGGCCGCATACTGATTGCCCATCTGGGGAGGAAGCTGTTCGTAGGTACCATCGATTTGCTCGGAGTGGTAGTTTCGGTTCAATTCGATCGAATTGGGACGAGGTTGACGAGTCTCGTAGACTCCCATATCTAGAAAAACGGATGGAAAATATTAGAGCTATTGACTACCGCCCACTGCAAGCATCGTTTTTACAGGACACACATCTCATTTAAAAACAAGCCAATTATTGTGTAATTACACTTGAGGAACAATTAGACATGTAATTACAAGCAATTTTAAGTTTCTGTGCAGGTGAGACTCTATCTCTCTGAACTCGAATACAAATTTTGATAAGTACAAACATCATACCGATTAACAGTCCTTTTTTTTAAGCTCGTTGCACAGAAAACAATTTAGAGAAACTATCATAGAATAAGATGTGGCGATAGTAAGGAATTAGTTAAGCTGCAGAGTGACATGTAGACATATGGAAATTGACTGAACTACAACAGAAAGATAGATAGGGATCCTAATCAAAAACTTTAACTCAATCTCAAATCGCGAGTATCAAATGAATTTAAACACTATGCAAAGCACATAGTAACCATAATGTGCAGACACATTACATAAATATTACAAGGTAAGAATGTCTAGTTGTACAGTGATTTCAGATAAAAATTCTGCACTCTGCATAAGCATGAAACTCATAAAATCATCGCGAATTCAATTAATAGTTTAAATAGAGTATTAGAGAACTCTCTGTACACACATAAGCTAATAAAAACAAAAGAGGTTGCTAGTAAGGTATAGGATAGAAGCGTGTGAAAGAACACTTTTAGTCTTTACTGAGCTTGCTTTATAGTGTGTGGATGTCTAACCTGCAATCGCAACGGCGGTTTGCTTGGTGACATTACTGTTTTTCTCCAAATGCGAAAGCATATTATAAGGCTTTATTGTATCTGTAAATGAAATGATTATGCGCGATTGATCCATTCAAAATTACAGAACTAATATTGTTAGGAAAAACAAAAGTTTTCATAAAAACCAACATGCAAATTAACTAAAGCTGCGAAAAAAAGTCTATTCAGGGTATGAAGTAGAAAGTTTCTTTGATTATTTACACCACTAACAGGAATTTTTAGAGACATTTCTTGGAGTATCCATCCATGTAAAAGTGAGAGAATAATTTTTGAGGTTTCATATTAATGAAAAACATATATTCTGACATAAAACTATCAATATATACCTTTTATATACCTTAATAAATTCTGCCCTATACCATAAAAATTTAAAAGAAAACTAAATTCGTTGTTTGATCTAAGACATATCCAAAAGTAAATCTTGTTTTTTTTTAGATAAAAGACTAAATTATGAGAACTCTTTCTTCCTGGATTATGATTATGTAGGTTAATTCTAATTAACAGCAAAATAATACGAATTAGTAATCCTCGGTAAGGGTTTGAGGCGTATCAAAATCTAGCGAGGTGTTGAGTGAAAAAGATGAATGATTGGCGGGAACATCTGTATCGTGGGATGCCAGCCGGGCGCAAATGAAAGCTACGTGGCCCCATCATCGTACCTACGTCTTCGATATTAGCGACAACTTGGTGGTGCGCATCGAGAGTGCTTAGCCGCAAATCGATGTCAGCCTCGCCCACAGTCTGTATTTTGACTAGCTGAACTACACGGGCAGACAGGACATTATTGATAATTAAAATATTCCATTCGATTGCAAGACAAGTGCAAATATTCAGTGCGTGAAACAAACGTTCCGATAACAGCCTATAAATTTGGTTCGCACTGAGTACTTGGCTCCTCCGGAGACCAGTCCCTTTGCCTTATACTTACTTCCATATCCGGCTTCTTCGTTGACCATAGAGTTTGGTGTCCGGTAGATGACGTTGTTGGGCATCAAAGTTTCGCCGTGCACCAGAGCACGTTGTCGCTGCTGTTCGCGCGTGTTGTGCGGCATCCTTATTTTGTTTTTCTGCTTTTTGTTTCCACGTCCGGCCGCACTGCCGGCTCCTCCTTCCTGCCGTGGTCTGTTTAGCTTCTTGCCCTTGTCGTGCATGACACGCTCGGTGTCCTTCAGCATCTCCTGGCGCCACAGCTCAAAGAAGTAATTGGGATCTGTATAAAACTTCAGTCCATCCTTGCCATCGTCTCTGTAAACGTTGAGCTTGTCTAGGGGCGGCGGCTTATCGCACTGGGCGTATGTGTCCATCATGGGGGCCGGCATGGTGGCGCGCGAAAAGATCTGTTGGTCGAATACCTTCGCCGACTTGAATGCCTTCTTGCGGGTGATATCCGTCAAAGGAACCTCCTCAACTGTGCTATCCAGCTGTGTCACCTTAATAGCCAGACGATCGATACGCGCCTGCAGCGAGTTGGCCCGATCACCGATATTTCCGACGTCTCGGGCCAATTCGCCGAATACATCCTCGGCATGTTTGGAGAGCGAGGAAAGCTGGCGAATAATATTCGTCAACGTTGTGTTGGTTACCGTCTCCAGTTCCACGGACTGCAGCTCATCCTGCTGGTAGACCGAGCGGGCAACGTGAACGGGTTCTATTGATCGTTTGGGCAGCGGCATGGTCGGGCGCAATAGACAATTATCTCCAACTTTGCACACCCGTGATTTATCGTGTCCTCATCGACTGAAATTTTAATTAATTTAAATTTAAATTGGGTTTAAGTAATCGAATTTGTGCAATGTTATTAGTTTTAGAAAATAACATTATTTTAATATTACACTGTTTTTATTTGGAAGGATTATTGAATGCATACTAAAGTGTAGGTGTATTTTACTTATTCTTTATATTTATTTTGGAAGTTGAATGTGTGATAAGGTCATTATTAATTAAAACAAGATGTAAAGCATTAAAACATTTAATTATTAAATGTTTTATTGAAAATAATAGCAGAAAAGTTAGTAGGCGGCTTAACAATGTGGTACCAGTGTCCTAAACGGTGGACTAAAGATTGTCCTAAAATCTTGGTATTTCATGAAATAGATTTAAAGTGATTTAAAACTTTTTTCCACAATCACTCAGTTGTTACTTCAATTATTTTGTGATATGCGCCGACTGGTGATGTCGATGTCTGGACCACACCCCACGGAAATAATACAATGTGGTGATAAGGGCGTAACGCCCGAATCACCCCCGAAAGATTCATTCGTAGGCACTTTCCGGTGAGATTAGTCGATAATGCGGCCCTTTTGGTGGCATTATCTGGGGGCTCCGACCTGAAGGCTTTACGTTGGCACCTATTCCATACGAATACGTATATCTTTGGTCTCCCACCAACGCAAATTAGACCGTCACGCACACACACACACACGCACCTAAGTTCGCTAAAGCAAATGTATGAATGTTTGTGCATTTTGGGGCGACTTTACGCGATTTTCGCACTGAAACATTTGCACCAGATCGAAACAATACACACATCTCTATCCATGGGCACTTTCTATTTGCAATTTTGAGCAGCTCGTGGTAAGTTTTAGTTTGATGCACTTCACACCTCTACGCACACTCACCGCCCGTCACACTTTTCGCTTCGCAGCAGGCACCACAACAAACATTAATCAGCCACTTCCGTTTCGGTGGTTCGGTGGCCAATTCGATTCAATGAAAACTCTAATTAGCCAATTTGGGGCTTGAAAAATGCAAATATTTGCTCGTTTTGTGGAAACTAAGATTTCCACACCTTTGCAGTGTGACCGACTCTTTGTAGTATGGAAATAGCGAAGGGCTCCATCACCCTGAGGAATACTAAACAAACATACCGCAAGTGGAAAAAGCTGATTTTTAAATTAATTCCGAGTTTACTCGCCAAAAAATATTCAATATTATTAAAGTGTTTTTTATATCCATTACTCGTTTTATATGATCGTAAAAATATTGCCCTTGAGTACGGTAAATACATAAACGTTCATTCAATTATTTGTTACATGTGTATCGAGGAACTTAAAATAAATATAGATATTTAATATTCCTTGGTATTTATTTAGGTTCCATATTTACTTTTATTCATTTTAAACATAGCTTTTTTTCCGCTATCAAATAAATATTATCTACTTTGGTATTTTATTTAGTATTTTCCCGCTAATCAATAAGTGTTTCAGCAACCCTGGTCTAGATCCATAACATCTCTGTTTCGTCGCACACTGAATAGGTAAGGTTTTCAACACATTTCGCAGATTCCCTCTTGTATAATTCCACTTGTTTGCAGAACCAAATTGATAAAATGGCGAGTTTGGCAACCAAGGGATCAGGACTTGTAAACAGTAAGTGTCGTGACTTGAAACTAAACGATTTTGTGGTCCATCTTCGGCGCCTACTAATCGCGAAATTATGTAATGATCATTTTTGCAGGGCTCCTTACTCAGGCGAGGCCCCAACTGGACGTGTTCCTGAAGTACGCCAAGGTGGAGCTGACGCCCCCGACACCCGCTGATATCCCAGCCATCCGCCAAGGACTCGGCAATATCATCAAGGGAGCCAAGACCGGTGCCTACAAGAACCTCACCGTTCGGGAGGCCTGGCTTAACACCCTGGTGACTGCCGAGGTCATCTTTTGGTTCTACATTGGCGAGTGCATCGGCAAACGCCACATTGTGGGCTACAATGTCTAAATTTACTATAGTCTCCGCTTGGAAGTCATTGGAATGGGAAACGTTATCTTAAAGCAGATGTGTAATATATTTGTATGTCTGCGAACATTTCGATTATGAATAAAGTGAAATAGTAACATAAAATTACGAAAATTTTCGAAAAACGAAAATGCACCAATGTTTTTAATCCTATTGAACACATATTCTCAGAAATGAATGCTCTAGATTGTGTAAACGCCAGAACTGGTTTAATAATTTATAAAGATTACGTGATCTAATTCTCTTTTTAACAAAAGTAATAAAATCAGTGATCAGCTTTTGTAATTAGTTTCAAATGTTTCTTTTTCAACAGCCCTCATTAAGTTAAATTACTTGCAAAATAAAACGGTTTTAAGGCAGTATTATTTTCCCCTTGGAAATCAAATTAAAGAATGTTTTTCGAAACATATTATCAATTATTTACGATATAAGCTGAATAATAAAAAAAATTCACATCAAATTAATTTTTTTTCGGTTTTTTTGCAAGAAGAGGTTTAGATTTAACAGACTTAACCCTTTCAAAAATCAATACTACTTTCTTGAAAAACAATATTCTTTTTGTTTTTTGAATATAAATTTAAAGGAAGAGTTTTTATCATTATTAAGTTATTACAAAATGGTTATTTTATTTAATGTTGAAACGCTTTAGTGGGAGTATATATGTCAGACAAGAGCAAGGCCACACTTAAATTTTTTGTTTTTAAGTTGCTATCAAAAAACCAACTGTTGAAGAAAGTGCAAAAAGGTTCCAGTTAGATAGTAAGTCACTGTAATTTAAAGGAATCCTCCATGATCTGCCAGGATGGCCTACGACGACGCCTCCAATCGCAGAACCTCGTGCACCTGTTGCAGAACCGCGAATCCGGATTCACCTGTCCAGGTAGCCAGCTGAGCAGGATGCCCCGGCTGGCATACGAACGCCCATTCTACAAGTGCATTACGCCCTGCCTGACCATTGATTCGGTTACAATTCCGCCAGTTTACCTGCGCAAGTTCACTCCAGATGGGAAAAAATTACTGGCCTTTTCGCATGATCAGCGCAGTCTGCACATCTTTCGCTACAGGGGATTTAGTTGTGCGGCTGTGGGAGAGCTGATTCGCCAGGCTGACGTAGGCAGTGCAGAATGCTTTAGCAGCCATGACAACATACTTAAGAGTACGATCTTCGAGCGCCTGTTTGCCACCAAGGAGGCAGTGAGCCTGCGTTTGTGCCAAAACGACTATGGCCTCTACTATTTACATCGAGAGTTCAGTGTGTTTCTGGAAGAGGGGAGATATGTCTTGCTGGCTGCCATGTCCGTGGTGCGGGGTGCTCTGCCCATCGACGACTATGTTCGGTATCCGGATCTATTCGACAAACTAGAAGCCTTCTCTTATGTTTTCTTCTTAGTGGACTTGGAACTCGGCGTAGTCACCGATAGACTCTTACTGCCTAACGACTCTATCGTGATTGCTCACAACCACGGCATTTCAGTCTTTGGCTCCAAGGTGGCAATAATGTCGAGGCTACATCAGTGTATTTATGTTTATTGCGTGTCAGAGGGAAAATTTCACAAGCAGGAGACGATAGGTCCACGGCCTCGGGACTTTATCGAAAAGGCTCCCACCAATTTTGAAAGCATAGATGCGACTACAGTTCTGCCCATTACACATATAAAACAGCGCGTTCTGAGCTTTCTTTACCGCCAAATTGATCCTGATAGCCCCAGTGCCACCGGCAAACGGAAGGAGTTTTACAAAAACTTTGAGTTTGTAAGTAATATTTTTATTTTTTATTTTTTATACGTAACTTACGTAACTTTTTGTAGGTGGAACATATGATTATGGAAAGAATGCAAATGGTGAACAAGGAACTCTTCCTGTTGCGATATGAAGAACGGCCAAAAGATAGCGACACCATGCCCACTACCCCAACACCCCGCCGCTTATATGTTTTTTACACAATATCTGCAGAAGAAGTTGTTGGCGTATACCCGGATTATTCAGTTGACCTGCTTCAAATCATACTGCAGTTCTACGATGAGATGAGCAATGTTCGATCGCTGCAAACTGGAGATGCACCTTCACTGCCTCTACATTTTTTCTTGAAGCAAAACTTCGGTGACGCCAACGAGTCGATTCCTGTGGTCCGGCAAGCGGCGTTGCGATTTAACCCTAGTGTACCTGTCAGCTCTCAGAGCCTATCGCCATCGCCCTACTTGAGATTCAACGAATTCAACTTTGACGATCGGCACGTCTCGCCGCTGGAGCGACCCAATCCCTGCTCCGCCGAACCTATTGTCTTCCAGGATCGGACCACGAAGTCAGTCAAGTTTAGACTGCATGCCACGGCGCGCAGGCATAATAATCTATCGGCACCGCGGGAACTCTGTGCCTTCATTTGGCATCCGTTCGAGCCACTAGTTCTCAGCATTCAAAAGTGTATGAACAGCTACGCCTACCATGTCCATCTGTACAATCACGGCACGATAGTGAAGCAATAAGGTCCGTAATATAAATGTATATTTATGTACATATATTAAGATACCCCTAATAATGCTTTCATTTATATAAAATTTGTGATATGTAATTTCGGGTTAAAAAAACGACTATTATTTTGAAGAAGACAATTGTTCGATTTTATTTTTTTTAGAATACAAATATTATTTAGTTAATTTCAAGTTGTATTGAATGTTGCCCTTGACCTGGAGACTCAAACCAATATTAAAAGTGTGATTTTGTTGTTCTGGACTATGTTGAGGTTGAGTGGTGACCATCCTCGTTGTACTCCTTGTTGACTTTAAGGGAGTGATTAATAACGCTTGAGCCACCTGGAGGATAGTTTGGCGAAGATCCTGTCCCCTGTGATGGTTGCTGTGGTTGTTGAGGTTGATTTGGCAGCGAGTTGGGGTTATGGCCTGGATTTTGCCCAGCTCCCGACTGGGGTGGATAAGCTCCTTGATTAGTGGTATTGGGAGGATACATATAAGGTGGCTGTTGCGGTGGCGGAGGTGGAGGTGGAAGCTGCATGTATGGATTGTAAGGCATTTGGGGATAGCCGCCCATCTGCTGTGGCGGATACTGCGCATATGGCGGTGGATATGGGTACGGGTAGTAAGGATACATCGGCGGCGAATAGCCAAACATCCCAGGATAGGCGGCATTATTGTACTTGTGCTCCGTGGTCTTGTACTTGTTCTTATGTTTGCTCTCCCCGCTGCTGCTGCTATCGCTGCTATCACTGTCCGCACGGACCACTCCGGCATACTGGCATACCAGCACGAAAAGGACTCCTGTCGCTGCCCAGTTTCTCATTATTTCTGTTAACCGCAAGACGTTCGTATAATATGAGCTCACGGGTTTGACTAAATCTTAGAAATTAAAATACATGGTCCGTTCAGACAATCCAAACAGCCAGCTCGTGCGTTGTTTTTGATAAGTAGACAAAAACATACAGACAAGGTTACGGCAGGGTCCACTAATCTGATTCCCTGTAAAAGTTCAAGACTTCGAAATTATTTTTTCGGAAACAAACATATTTTAACTTTTAGTGAAATCAGTAATAGCTTTTTTGACGAAATAAGCTAAACTTTTTTTCCTGAAAATAATCTATGTATATTTTCTTTAAGTGTCTAGATGATGCAAGAACTGGGAATAATTTACGTAGCTATTAGATTCGGAACAAGCGCATTTCCTCAAGATTTGTGTTATTTAATAGACAGAGGTGGTGTGCTTATCATTTAACAAAACAACACATACGAAAATCTTAATAGGGGACTACGAAGCTTTTAAAATTAAACCAAGTACATTTTTGAATTTAGCGTTAATCAAAACTAATAGATAAAAACGGAAAAAATATGTTCTCCATGAATTGGACTAGCAAGATAAGCTTAGGTAAACAGTATAATCATATTGTTAAGTCAATAAACCGGATGCTGCTTCTCGTCAATCAAAAACCCAGACTCGTGCGTTGATTATAAATAACTTTGAAAAGATTAGGTTTTGGGAAATACCATATATACTGATCCATGGTCACAAAAGTTGAAGAAATATATTCTGGCACATTCGAGGGTTGACATATAAGTAATTCTTGATTTATAAATTAAAAATATTAAATATTTTAAAAACTTGTAAACTGTTGTTGTTTTTTATTATTTATTTATTATATACCTTTTCAAACTTATTTATTACTAGCAGTTTTAGTTGAGTTCCTTTTTGCTGACAGCTGCTGAAGCCTTTAGCCGATTCTCCTTGACCAACTTTCGCCACTCCAACCACTTAGCCAACTCTGGCTGTTCACTGCCGCTTCCTTGCTGCTCTAGCTGCATGTAATATGCTTCACGAAGAATCTTAAAGGCCTGGATGCTGTAGTACGGCTGCTGGGTAACAGGATCGAAATAGCGGGCTGGCAACCTGGTGATCGGACAGATGCCATTACTGACTTTGGGTGCCGGCTTATGTTGAAAAATATTCTGGAACGCCTTGTCATTGAAATCGTTTTCGATAGTGACGAAAGTGCGCTCACACTTTCCAGTGTGATCTTTTAAGTCGTTTGGAATACTGGCTCCACGAGTGGGCTTTCGCATCGCCGGCATGGTCAGTGAATGGTACCTTATAGTGGGCCCAGTAAAGGTGCGCTTGGTGGGACGGGATTTCTTCTTTTCTAACTCCATTTTTTGGAACTTCTCTGCAAGGTTTCAAAAAATTTTAATATTGCTGAATCTTTGGATTTTTTGAATACCCACCAAGAGATTTAATGTTTTCCTCTTCGGTAATCTTAGCCTCCTCCAATAGTTCCTCCTGCGTTGGCATATAGTCCTCCACACGGACCTTCTTCTTTTTGCGCTTGCGGGCATCGTCCAACTCCTTGAGACGGATTTTGGTAGCCTGCGTCTTGATGGCCGTCGAAGTGCGTATGGACTTTCGGCCAGAATCAAGGACCGTAAAACGGGGGCGTACACGACGCTTAACCACTCCACCACCGCCTCGTTTTTTGTGCAAGGAGGGTACGACCTTTGCATCTTTCTTGACTGCTGGCTTGGTTTCCTATAGATAGTTTTATACATTTGAAAACTGTAACAAAAAAAGTAGTTCAAAAAAATTTGGCACCTTATAAGCCTTTGTGTTAACACCTCCACGTTTTCGCTTCTTGTCGGGAGCCTCTTCCTGATCGGAAATGGGCTCATCTTGCTCATCAATACTAAAGTCTGAGTCCACTACATCCTCTTCTTCGTCCTTTTGTCTGTGGAGAGGTTTTATAAAGGGTTTATGTGTTTTCTTTATTTATTTATTGGGAAAACTCACTCGTATTCCTTATCCTCTTCTTCGTCCTGGAATCCGCCATATGATGTTTTGTAAAAGTCGTCTTCCTCTTCTTCATTCAGCAAATGCGCTATTTTGTTGCCAGCATTGTTGCGCCGGGAACGTGAGGCAGCCATTTTTCTTTTGTTAAGATCTTAAAACTCTTTAAAAATGTCGATACTAATAAATTTGAAGATGTTTTGCTAAATTATGAATGTAAACAATCCGAGCAGTGTGCCCAAGGCGGGATAATTCGAAAAGGTTGAAAACTTTAATGAACGTTGCCTTTGAAAACAGGGCTAGATCATGTAATTAAAATAATTATTATGTTTTCAAGATTTTTATAGTTGCTTATACATGAATGTAGGCGTATTCAGCACTGTCAGGACTTGTAAATTAAAAATATAAGAACAGTTTTCCAAATCGCCTCAAATTATTTTTTTTGGTATTTCAGTCACTGGTACTCACGTTCCCACTAATTCGCCATCGGCTTGTTGCTTTTTGTTCTGCCGGTCGCCTGCATTTTCTCATTTAATTTATTTCCACTAATTAAAGACTGTACTCAACATGTCGGAACAATGGGAGGTGGTATCTAAGTCGCGCAAGCAAAAGAATCTCGACAAGAAGGTTATCGCGCACACGGAGCAGAAGAGAATTGCAGCCCAGATGCCGAAACTTGAGGAGCTGTGTAAGAACTTTGAATAGAGTACACTTTTTCTTGTAGATTACACTTGATAATGGGCCTTATCCACTCAATAGTGCCAACTCAGCGGTATCGTAATTTGTTCGGCTCCACCACAAACAACAATAACAAGTCCCATTCACCTGCAAAATCCAGTTCAAGTGCTTCGTCTTCCTCGAAAACCAATAAATCGCCAATTAAGAAGAATCCTGTGAAGAATGCCGGTACATCGAATCAGAGAAAGACCACGTCGTCGACGTCTGTGGCAAAACCAAAAACCCTGGAGCTGGCTCTTAGAAACATCACCAGGGATGATTTTGCTGCCCAACTAGAGCAAGTTAAGCTAAGTTGTCCTGGTTCTGAACTGCGCTGGCTAAGTCACGTAAGTCCATCAGTGCTTTTCAATTGACTCAGTTAGGTTATTGTTGTTCACCAGATTGCCCAGTACTTTAATGGCGCCCTATCCTACGATTGTGATCCCATATTTTCTGGCCGATCGGCTCAGTATCCCAGCAATTTGGCCAGTGCATCACTTAAGTATTCAGTTGTGGAGTTCCTGGGCAGCGTGGGTGAACAAAATTTGGAGTATTTTTTCTATTCTTTATTGGACAGCATGGCCACCGATCTAAATAACAATCAGACTGTGGCAGGTTATAAGCTAGTGTTGCAATTGATCGGTCAGAACTGGCCTAATATTTGCTCCAGAAACCTGGCCAAGACCGCATTGCTAAGGAACTCCTATCAGAACCGCAGCAACATTTGCCTGAGCATCCTTTGGGCGATTGGACAAGGCGGCTACCAATCGCTGAACGAGGGCGTCAGGGTGTGGCAGAACCTTATGCTGCCCAACTTGGAGCTTAAGCAATACACGAAATTTGTGGTGGAGTATATGGAACGGGCTCTGAGTGCGGCAGCTGCCAGGAAGACGGTGGATCCCCTGCAACTCAATCAGCAGGAGTTCTTTGCCACCTATAACGCATTGAATGCGCCATACAACAATCTGCCCAAGGACTGGCAGCAAAGTCTAAAGCGAAGTGCGCGTTTGTTGCTGGTATGCCCGGAGTGAACCGATTCGGTCGATAGATTTTATGACTCATTAGTATTCTTCCCTAGCAAAACTATATTGACAGTCCTGTGAAGCATGCCAATATATTCCTGACGCTCTTCCGCGAAATAACAGCAAACACCAAGCAGAATAACGAGATCGAAGGCTGTATTAGTTGCCTGCTTAGCAACGGTAGAGATGATTGCCTGAGAGTATGGCGCATGAACTATAAAAAACAACAGTTACCCAGTCTATTGCTATTAAAAGCCATAGGTAAGATCAAATCATGTTATATATTTATAAATCTTAGATATTGACTAATACATTAAAACTTTTTTAGATGACAATTGGACAACGTCTACCTATGAATTGGCTACATCACCGGTGTATCACACTTTTCTGCAAGATATAGAAAGTCTGAACGAAGAACTTCAGGCTAGCAAGCGAAAAGACGGCAACTTGGAAAATTTAAAAATTGTTTTGATGGTAAGTAAATTTAAAAAGTATCCTTTTTTTTTTTTTTTTTGAAAAATTTGTATTCTTCTATGAAATGAAAATGTTTAAAAAAAAGTTTAATGTTGAAATTTGGAACAGGGCTTATAGGTTCAAATTTTGCGCGCTTTTTATCACATTCCGAGCCACACTATTTTTTAGGCGTTCCACCGCCCTTCTTAGTTTTTGTAGTCTGGTCACACCGCTGTCGTGAAAGAAAAACGAAGGTATAAACTTGTTAAACTGTCAACCAAAAGTGAATAATTAATTGCATTCGGTGCTAAAAAGAATGATTTGGGCTACTTAGACTGCAGTATAGCTACGTAGGACCTCTTATCGGTTAAAAGTTCTTGTAATTAGCTAATAATGTAACGAAAGTTTAGAGAGGACGCTGCCAACGCGACGTCACTAAGAGAAAGAGACGGAAAGAGTTAGCCGGCGTTCGCATAAAATTTCTCTCCATTTCAACTGGTATTTTCAACGAGAGTGAGCAGAAATTAATGGTCCGCACCTTAATTATCGCGTTGTCGCTATTGTTGTTATTGCAGTGCAAAGTGCGTTTCAGTCGTATGTGTGCGTGTCATCATTAACGGTTGTGTATGCGTGCGCCCCTCTGGTAGCTTGTTGGTATTGGTGGAAGCTATAGCTGCATTTTTACCATAGCGTTGCCATGCGGGTTCCTGTTGCCGCTAAATTTCTCCGAGCAGACGTGTTGCTTTTGGAAAAGAGATTATGCCTGGGGCATCATAAACTCTAAATTATCAGGCAACATTCTTATCAGCAGACCCAATTTTTTTGGTTGATCTGATGCTTATTTGTGTTCTCTTATTGACTGATGTGTTCCAGCTGCGATTGGCCATCGGCTCCCCTCTCTGTCTTTACCCGATTGTGCGCACTTTCGTCTCCTCCCCACTCTCACTCTCATTGCACAGTGGTGCAGTTTCGCGCTCTCTTCTTAAAATCTTTCAACGTCACAACTGCGTGTCCCAAGGTCCGAATAAGAAAACTGGCCATCTCAATTTCGGCTGCTTCAACACGTGGCATGTTGTCCACTGCTGTGACCCTGATTCTCACTAGCCGTCTCAAGTGTTCTTCATCACCTTTCTTTCTTTCACTCCGAAAACACAAAAGAGACGGATTTAGAGGCCATAGTTCATTCAACTCTTCTAACACTACAAATAGTTAGAATCTATTGCTAGCGTAAATATAATACGATTTGATACGAATATTCCATACATTAAAAAGTATTTCATATTTTATATTTCATAAAATATTTTTGGTAGTTTAAATTTTTATAATGTTTTTAAATGGACATTGCCAATAGAGAGATTTTTGTTCAGAGAGTACTAAAACAAGTACGCAAATTGACTTGAAATGCTTAGGCTAGAATATAAATATTCACTCTGGGCATAGACGTTTGGTTATACGTTTTAAAAAATTTTAATTACCTCCAATCGAGGTTTTAGCTTATATTCACATCTTAGGTCATCGCGCTCCCATCCCGCAAAAGCATTTGCAAGCAATCTTTATCAAAAAAAGCTCGGTTTAAAAGCTCGAAAAGCCCTAGCATTCTTTTTAGCAAACACTTTTGCAATGATAAACATAATTATTAATTCATATACTTTTGTGAACAGCTGAGGAAATCTAGAAATACTCTTTGCTAATCGAAACTAAGTGAAATTAAATTAGAAAATGGCTCAGGTTAAACCGAAAAGTAACAAACAGGGCGGCAAACCAGCGCCGGCCGCCAAAAAGGTAAACACAAAGACTAAATACCATAAAATTAAGTTCCCATTGCTCCAAATACTTATTAATATTATTATTTTTCTACATTAAAGAGCGTCCAAGAGAAGAGCAGCGCTCAGCAGAAAAAGAACAAACAGAATGCTGCGGCACAGAAAAAGAAGTGCGGATGCTGCAAGTGGACCTTGGGCAGCATTTTCATTATCGCTCTGATTGCCGGAGCTCTGTACTATGACACCGAGGTTAACGGCAAGGGAGTATTCGAGAAATCGGCCTCCGGCAAGGTACTGAAAGAACGCCGGAGTGTTGCCGCATGTCCAGAAGACCTGGTACACGGTCATGAGCGCTGGAGCTCGGGGTTACAAGTGGGCGGAGGTGAATGTTCCACCTTACGCAGAACCAGCGATCAAGACCAGTGGAGACCTGTGGAAGCTGGCGAGAAACGCGGCCTGCAACGTTTTCCAGAACGGCAAGGAATACTTCGCAGTCAAGTGGCCCGTTGTTGCCAAATTCGTAAGTGTCTTGTGGTCGACGTGAAGATGAGGTCATATGACGTTTGAATATGCGCAAACCAGTTTTGAAATAGTCTCTGTATTACTTTCTGGCTCCTTTGTTAATACGCTTTCTATCTATTTTCTAGATTGACCAATACGTGCCCAATTTGTCTGGTAAGATCGAAGCCTTTGCCGCGGGCGTTAGCGATTTCGCCGTCAGCAGCTACGATAAGTCTGCCGCGCTTATCAAGGAAAAGGTGCTTGTGTAAGTTTGAATGGCTTTGATTTCTTTAAGAAAACCTCCCTTAAATTTTTGATGTATTAAATTAGTGGCCGTTTCTCGCCCGAGAACATCAATCAGGCGCTGAACCAGACGCGCATCGCCGCCCTGGAGTACTACAACCAGTTTCACAAAAAGGTCGACGCTTATGCCAAGCTCAAATGATTCTAAGCGTCAGGCACGCTTACCTCTCTAACAGCAACATCATCAGCAGCTGCAGCAGAAGGAAACACAAAACGCGTCATAGTAAATAGTGCAGGAAACCCCAACATTTCGCAATTAGTTAAAAAACCGGAAAATGTTCTACAGTCGAAACTCAAAAAGACATTCACATTCATCAACAACTTCTCGTCAGGTCTAATTAAGAAAAAGCAATACGAGCTAAACATTGTGGATGCCGCCGATAGTGTACACTAAACACCTAGTAAATTCAACCTCTATACTGATAAATTAGTTAAAAATCCGAAAAAAATTCTGTTGTACAACACTTGTTTAAACATTTTTCTCCCAGAAGAGAAAATTATATTTTTAAATTGAATTTTGTTTACAACGGCTTCAGAGTTTTGTAAAAAGTTATATTCTAAAAATTTTCGTAAATGTAATTATTTAAGAGCGTTTTTTATGGCGATGCGCGAAGTGTTAACGAAATGGTGTTAACAGAACTTAACAATTCCAGCTGCATTTTGAAGGCAAACAATAGATTCAAATATTTTTATACTTTTACTCATAGTTTTCTTGTGTGTGCATTTCTGTAGAGTTCCCAATTTTTGCATTAAGCGGGATCCTTTCGATTTGATTTTAAATCTCATTTGTATATTTAACGGAATACACGATTTTGCATTAATAAAATAAAATTGAAAGAAGTGAAGTACAGAATACAAATTGTGTTTATTATTATAGTAATTCTACACAGACGGTATGGTTATAATCGAAATATCAAATTGAATTTGGATAGACGGGCTAAGATGAATTTCGATATTTCCCTCCTTTCTGCCGAATTTCCTTAGGTACTAAAATTTACCCGAAGGTCAATTTTTAGAACGGAAAAGAAGTAAATCCAATGTGGAAGCAGTGCCTCCATAAGGGAAATTAAAGAAGTAAATATTTCCCGCTCTTGCAAAGGCATTTTTAGAATATAGAAGAGGCAAGCAGTTATTCTCTTCGTAAGCAGTATAAAAAACCTGATTTTAGAACAAGAAATTAGTTCAAGGAAATTGTTAAGCAGTTTATGAGAATTTAAAGCACTACAAATTCAAATAGAATGAACTTCCCCTTTCAAGTACTACCCCTCTGCGAATACTAGGATTTTTCCAATTCGCCGCGATGTGAGCATTTTCGGAGTGCGGCACCCCCATCCTGTTTTTAGCAGAGTCCTGTTCGTGGTTGGCAGGACTCGGTTCGCATCGGAACGGTTACTTTAGCGAGGAGGAAAGAACAATACGGAAAAGCTCCGGCCTCGATTGCCGCAGTACCAAATGAATTTCAAGTCGCGGCGCACGTGTTTTGTCCTTTGGCGCGGATGTGACTTCGAGTCCTTATCGCAGATTGTGAACTTCGCCTCGAAAGGATATCTCGCAGTTGCCGGTCTCACAGGTTTTGTCAACTCGTGCGCGTCGACACTGAAAGAATAGTAAACGATCGATCGGGTTTAATTTCGCTCAGTGTAATGTTCTTGAAGCAAAAGTGAAGTTTTCAAATTGGTGGCCGCTTTATGCGGCCAGTGAAAGATATTAACCCAGCCTGACCAAAAGCCAATAAAATACTGAAAAACTGAGATGTTAAAAAAATAAAATTAATGGATTTAGCTCTGAAACCTAAAAGTAAGTTGGAAAACACCTTGATTAACTTAAATATTTTTATTTCTACTTAGCTGTCTAGCTGAGCTTTCCCTTCGCCAAAGGTAAACCACAGATAAATCAAAGAAAAACATTCGTTTCTCATCGGAAATGAACTCAGACGGGCGACGTGATTTAATGCTAATCGAAAATGCATTTGTTACTCAGGTTTCTTGGAAATTTCACGCTCGGAGATAGGAATGTTATAAAGACAAAACACATTTTTTACAAGACCTCAGCTCGAATCCGTGTCAGTTGCATAAATAACCAAGAGTTTTATGCTAGAGTGATTGTTTTTGTTTTTTTCTTGGTTTTTTTTTGCAATCAAATCAAAGTTTATTTCATGTTAAGTTGGAAGTTTTTTCAAAGTTCTCCTTCGCCTCTTATCTGCTTTTGAAGTTTGGTCGTGTTTTCGCTAAAGTCCAAGGAGGAAGTAAGGTGGGTAATTAATTCCAGGAACTGAAAATAAAGAGAAAGGGGGAGTTGGAAAGGTCAAAGTTTCGCTGCGTTCCCTCGGTAAATTAACTTTCGACAGGCAGCGAATAATAAGTGTAGTTTTAAACTTTTTAAAAGTTTTACGGACATGAACATTCGATTCATGGACAATTTTTGATAATGCTTTTTATTCAGCAAGCATTGCCAAAAGCATAAATGTTTTCCAAGTGTTTCGAAAAGTATGACCAGTTGGTTTGCTTATACTCCTTGCATAGCTCTGGAAATATTAAATTTTTGGCTTATTACTTAACTTTAATTCTGCACTATCAAAGGGAAAATTTTCTTCTTTAAAAGGTTGGAGCAAACTTTAAGGGCCTTGCAAGCCTTTTTGCATGTGCCCCTTTCCGACCATTAATTAAGTGCCGCTTGAAGGAATAGAAGTAGATGGGTCTGTCTCTCATTAATCTTATAACCTTATAAAGAACGGCCCAAACTGGGCATATGTCCAGGGACAATCCCCGAAAACGACATTGAAATCGAACCGCCTCATCCTCTTTGCCCTCTTCACCATCTCTCGTGTTTTTCTAATTGAATTAGCTTTCTAGGTTTTTTGTTTGAATTTTCTTCTTAAAGATCAAGTGGTCTCCAGGTGGCTGTGTGACTGTGTGGCTTTTTGGCCGGTGTCCAGGTGATTAATGTCCAACCAGGTTTGTTTAATTAACTTGTATTTATGCCTGGAGTACACAAAGGAAGACAAAAGCCAGACGCAAACATTGATAAGTGGGCTCAGTTCTATTTGAGTGACTCAACTGCTTATGCTACCATACAGAAACGGGTGACTTCCAATGGGTTGAGTAAGCATAATAAGAGAGAACAATTATCGCGTGCAATGGTTGTTAACTTGTTTTAAATCATCTAGTAAGCCCCAAAGCATATTTCTCGTGTGCAGCAAAAACCACTAAATTCAATTAACCGTCGATGGCATGGAAACAACAATTACTGCGTGCACTTTAAGCTGATGCCATGTTAATTTGATGACCATTGTTTGATTGGCGTCGAAACAGCCAACAGCTCATTACACAACGGCGTAAAGGTATTTAACTGCTGTGATTACCTGGAGGAGGGTCAGAGGGCAATCGAATCGATTTAAGTCCTCTACAGTGGATACAATATCTATTGGATCGTTCGTTGGGGGCTTAAATTAAAACAACGCCTCACCACATGCCGCCTTTTGTGTAAAAATTAACATTTTAATTGGATTTTGGCCTTTACGTAGTTTTTGAGTGATCAAGGCCAGCACTGTGCACCTTTCAGCTGCACAATTTATGTATTTTATGGCCCAATAAAAAACTATTTGGATGTAAATATTAATACAGTGGTTAGCAAAGGATAAGGCTGGTACAGGACAGGCATACAGGCAGCCGTGTGACATGATGGCGATAAGCAACTGGCCAACACGGCCAATATATATGGGGGCTTAACGCAAATACAAACACAAATTCGGAATCGGAAAGAAATTAATGCGACAGCAATTTGATACGGGATAAATGATGTGAATGAGGGACATTTATTCTGAAGGCCAGCGGTTAAAATCAATGTTTGCTTATGTTAAGTGAGAGCTGCATTCGTTACAGGTATACTAACTAGCAAGGGTTTTTATCATAACAGTTTAGGTTTTAAAAATTAATCAGCTAAAGGATATCTTTATATTCTCAATTAGAAAGGGTTGAGCTGGAGTCTCCTGTTCCTTTTCTATTTATCAAATTGTTAAATTAAGTATTGGAATGTTGTCTAATATTAGCACTCACCAAAAAAGAATAAAAAAAAGTGATTCATAACTTAAGCGAAAGTGCTATCAGGTACCCTAAAAGAGCAGCATGAAATCAAACTAATATTTTTCAAGAGCTATATTTCAATGAAATAATTTTCAAAATTAATTGCTTTAATCAAAATGTTTTCCCTCTTTTGCAGATTGCACTTCAAACATGATTGAACCTACATCCTCTATGAAAACAATTGCAGTAATGTGAACCGAAATAGCAACGTTTGAGGGCTAAAATTACAGACAAACAACCGCCTTTGAGGTGAATAATTATAAATAATTAAAATCAAGGATAACCAACCAGCCAGTTAGAGGGATCATGGCCATGGAAGGGAAATGTTTCGGCTGCATCATTACACCAATCCTCGTGATAATGATTAGCATTTCGAGAGCTTGGACAATGCAGCAACAGCACTTGAGTCCTGCCACCCAAGAGCTTCCTGGAATTAAGTCATTATGTAAGTTTGAACTCGTGTGTATTCAGACAAATATAATTCAATTCCACAGGTATGAAAGCATACTTAATTCCCTCCTCTGTGACTTTGACCATGTGAATGAATCCTTAAGGCTATACATTGGCTACAGCCAACACTCTTAATTAAGTTTATCAAAATTTGTCGATAACATATATTAAATAGTCATAAATATAATTCAAATATGGTCAGCACAGAGGCAGAACTTCATTAGATGAATTGATTTCATCTGCAGTAGGTTAATAGAATAATCAAAAGGATATTTAATTAATATAATTTTCTTCCTGTTGCGGTAGACACTTCGCTAAGTAATTAGTTGACAAATTTCCGTTTAATAAAAACTGCAAAAAGATCTGACTAACTTTGGCAGTAACTTCAGTAAGTTCACCTCCAGGTCAGAGCAAATTTACCTTAATAAATCAAACAAAAATTTCTTAGCTTTCTGTTTTTTCCCGACATAATTCCTAGTGTATGAAGAACTTTTTTCCGGCCTGAAATAGCTTAATGCAGTAAATGCCTAAATCAATTATGGCCAGCAGGCGGAAAGCGAGCAGAGGACTCCGGAAAATAGGCAAATAAACCAAATAAGCAAGCAAAGAATAAAATCTACTTAGCACATGTAGACTTTAATTAAATCATGGCCCAGGGTGGAGGATGAGTAGAGACACCGACGAGCCATCGCGGCCTTCATCTTAATCTGCAGACACCCAGCCGGAGCACATCCTTCACAGGCATTTTGGGGGGAAGGGATCTGAGGGCCTGAGCCCTGAACTCTGCTGTGGTTGTGGCTTTCAGACGTCGGGAGTCAACGCGCCCTGGGTTTTTATGATTATGCTTAGCGTTACTTGGTCATGTTGCCTTACTTTCAGTACAAGAAAAACCCACAACAATAATGCTCTGCAAATTGTGAGGCTAAAAAGTAAATCCTGGTTTGTGAAATCTGTCAGGGAATAAATTAAACAAATAACTTACCTAGGAACTGAATAATGAGCTTTTATTTATCAAGAAACTTATAAGTGATTAAGAAAAGAATTAGTTAGTTAAGAGAACAGCTTGTTGAATGTCAATATGTTTAGTGTTTAGATTGCTATGAACATATCTTCTTACCTTTAAATAACACTTTCCACAACTTTAAGCCAAATATTTATTTATCTAAAATACATTTTAAAGTCTTTTCTCGTAGAAAAACCAATTGATAGATCGCAAATCTTGCTGCTAAGCTAAATGTATTTCAATTGCAGTTTAAAGTGCTTTTTGCCCCCTTGTTATTGGAAGTTCGTCTCAGTTCTCCTTTTCAATATGCCCAATAAAGTCAGACTTTTTGGACTTTTTGTTAGCCACCTGCATTTGTGCTTGGTTTTCTCTTGTCTACATTGTTTCCTCTCTCTCTCTCTCTCTCTCTATGCAACCTCTGCTGGGTGGCTATTGACTTTTCTTGGCAGTGACTTGGTGATGTGGGCAATACGAGAAGAAAGAACCAGTCATAAGGGAAACTCAGCCGGCTGTTTTTCATTTTGTCGCTCTTTGGGCCAAAGTCAGCCGCAAACTGTAGACAAGAAAGTCAAAGAAGGAAATGCAAGTGAGCATGATGGCCAGGAAACATCGAGTCTCGGGGGAGTTTCATTGGCCACCTGACTGTAGAGTCCCGGAAAAATCAACTCAAACTTTCCCGGTTGTTTCACTTCGCAGATGAACGAACGACAAAGAAAAGCTGGAAAAGCTGGAAAATGATCGTAAAATGATTTTATTGCCTCTCAGTCTGGCCGCACAATTAAACTCGAATTTGTGTCGAAATCCTAAAACCATCAAGGGGAATTATTTAAAATTCAAAAATTTTCTGCCCAAGCAGTTGTCGTGTCAATTAATAAAAGTTACGATTATTTTGTAGCAAGCCAAGAAGCCTGAAGCCGTTGGCCATTTCGACTATTGTTGCCTCGTTCAAGAGGAGCCATAAAAACGGGAATAAAAAGGGTTTTTATGCAATATGTTTTTAAGTGGTTTTAAATATGTCAGAGAATCATTTTAAATAAGCCCTTGTTATGGCTTTGCTTTAATATAACAAAGAAGTCCCAGTACAATTTAATGACCAAATTTGATAGATTAAACAGCCATTAATTTTAGTTTTATAATTTATTTTGTTATTTCCATTAACTTTTCAAGTTGGAAGCTCAACAATTATTCTTATAGAAATATCCTATGACTGTAAGGTAACTGGGGGAAAACCATTCATACATATGGAAAAGCAATTTTATTTCCTATATTCCACTTTAGCTGGGCCCTACTTTATGCCATTGTTGCATGAGTATTGTCCTGCCATCCAGGCTACCCTCGGCCATTACGGCTTGGATATAAGGAAACCATATAAATATAAACTCATAAAAATCATGACTGCATGTCCTTTGTGCTGAATTGTGGCTTACGGTCCTTCCCCTACATATGAACGTTCTTTTTTTAGGTCAAACCAAAACGTTTTTTGCTGTTATTTATTTACGAATATGTTTTGCAGTAGTTATTGGCCTGTTTTTAGCATATAATTAAATGGAAAATCAATAATCTGGTAGCCAATTCAAGCCCTATTATTCACTATCAAAATCAAACTACTCAGATATAAATTTCAGTTCAGGGTTCCCATCAAATTTCAATCTATTTCCTGCGATTTCTAGATGTTTTCTGAATACATATTGCATATAATTTCTAGTTACCGTATAGAATGGAATATGCCAGGCACGTTGGCCAAAATGCAATCTAATTTAAATGACTTAACGTTGGGCCAAAACGGAAACACAAAAGGCAAACGGATGCCATGTTCCTGGGTCAGGAATAAATGGTAGTTACACATGTGCCAGATGACAAAAATATGCTCCAGCATTCTCCTGCAGTCGGGGATGCAGATAAGCAAGATGTACTCAGCCTGTAAACCAGTGTAGTTTGTAGTTTTACTTAAAAAAACATTCGTTGACTACAAATATCATTTGTTTATGCTTCTATATTTTAATTAATTTAAATTTATATATTTATATAAACAAATTTATATTAAAAGATTTTAAAGGACTATCTAAGTTTTAGTCTTTTATGAATCCTATCGAAAGCTATCATCAAACTTGGTAAGCAAAAGATTCTTTTTATAGAAATTTTGTCAATTTTCCAAAATGTAAAACAAATATACAAATTTTTACTTAATAACCACCTTTCTTTATACACTCATTCCGAAGAATACTTGCTCCATTACAACAAAACCTTTTCCAATTCGAGTACCAAGCTAAAAAACCAATTTCGATACATGAGTAAATAATGATTTTGCTCTGCGGTTGGTGGGCTGAGTTGCATTCGTTCAGGCGAAATAATCGTTAGACATAAATTTGGGCTCGAAAAAATATTAGCTTTGGCTGCCGTTCACCTAGAACATGTCTAAAACAAAAACCTACAATCTTTATTTGTTTTGGGTTACTTTTTTGTATCGAATTGGGTATACCGATTGGGTTGTGAGTTCTGCCATGAAATTAATATTACCTTCTTAGAGTGTTTATTGTAAATTATTTCTTGGAATATTGAAAGGCACATAAAGCAATAAGTAAAGTAAGGATATCTTTCTATCGGTTTCATTATGTTGTAGGTTTCTTATTGGTATCTGAGGCGAAATGTGTAACAAATCTTTTCTACTGTGAAAACATTACCCTTACGAGGCATAAAAGTTGACATATGTAACAGACGAGGCACATACTCGTACATTGCCCTTCCCATACAAATCTACAGTGTAAGGGTCTGTATTGGCTGTGACAATAAGCCAAAAAAGAAACATGAAATCAAAAACCAAGGCACACATACATGGGTATAAATTTTCGGGGAGTTGCTCCAGGAGGTTGGGGTGAAAGACCCCTTGTGGCATGCTTCTAAAGCCCTTCTGTTAGATTTATTTCCGTTTTTCTCACTTTTGTTGCAACTTTTTCTGTTTAGATGCTTTTTGGCGTTTTTTTTTTTTGTTGTGTTTGGTAAGATAGGTTTATGTTTGCGGGTGGGTTGGGTATTAGTTTGGTGCTTTGCATACGAACTTTGGGGCGTGGCAACTAAGAATTTGTAAGGACAGCTTGGTTGCTTTCAATATCTGCAGTTTATACTTTAAAGTTGGGTTCTGTTTAAAGTTGAAATTATATATAGAAAGGCGTTAGACTAATTTTAATAAGCAACACAGCTGAAAAGATAAAAACACCATTAAAAAAACTACAACTTTGCAGTTAAAAGTGTCTAGAAAGTTGTTACCATGCTGCAGGACAAACTTTAATTTAACGCACGCCAAACTCATCTACGTAGATACAATTTACACTATCAGAGACCTTTGCAGACTGTATTTGGACGTGGAACCAGCAGTTGCAATTTACGCAACGAAAACAAATGATTCTGGGCTTAAAACTACAAGGGGACAGTGTAAAAGACATAGGAGCAAACAAGCTGACTGTTAACGATACGAAAATAAGTCCATATATGTACGAAGTGAAACAGTGTGCACTCCATAAATGAAATAAAATAATAGTTATTCTGCAGAATTTGCAATTTTGGAAGCAGACAAATGATAGCATACTTTTCAGCGCGCAATATAATTGGTCCACTTTCCAGCCTTTTTTTTTATTGCAATCAATGTTAATTAAATAGAATAAAACGCGTACAGTATAACGATTTAATGAACTCTTAGTAGTTTCAAAGGTGTGAAAATAAATCTTTCCGGAAATAATAATAATACCCAGGATAGCCATTAAAACCACAAAAATGAATTAAAAGAAAATGTACTAGCTCCGAATGCCCACTGTTTGGTGAGTTCTAGGAACTAGCAGTAACCTTTTGTCGGTCCCATCTCCACACTTCCGATTGTTGCCAGCTGATAAAGTGAGCTCCTGGAGGGAGTCAGGCAACAAGGTGGTAGGGGCAAGGGTGGAAAATCGCGTGGAGCCCGAGGCGGAGCATAGAGGAAAAGCTGGAGCAACAACAATTTC